GGGAAGCCAGGCTGTTAACAGATTACAAGCACACTTTGCACAGTTTTGGAAAACAAAACTGTCCCAGAAGACGTGCTCCTGTAAATAAGCTTCTGCATTTTGTGATCAACTTACCTATCCCACAGCCTTTAATACTGAACATACGCTATGGCTACATCTGGATATGCCTGACAGTTTTTCCCCACTGGCTCAGCAATGGAGGAAAAAATATAAATAAAACAAAAAGGAATGAGTCGTAAGATATCAACTCCGGTATTGGTCTTAGTGCTCTATTTCACTGCAGTCATCATTCCTGGCAATGCTACAAAGCAGCTTTCGTCTCTCTTAGTGACTTTAAACTTCCTGCTAAAGGCTGGAATAGGTCACTGCTCCCCTTGCTTGCCCAGTCGTTCAAATCCTGTGAAATTCTAGATAATTATGACTAGGTTTTCATAGCTGCTGCTGTGAAATGAGTCTGTGCCTCAAGCATTATCTCCCTGACTTGCTCCAGCTTCTCTCCTCTCCCACAGAGAAGCAAGCAGGACAGCTGGGTCACTACCCAGGGGAGCTGTACTTCACGAGGCACTGTTTTTCACCTCCTCCCCTGCAAAGCATGGTTATCATCCATGGCCAACACACAATCTCTCACAACACCAGATTCTCAGAGAAGGTCTCAACACACGCGGGCAACGAGGCTCAGCCTGCAGCCACCAAATCCAATGAGAGTGCTTCTCTATTAAAAATAAATAAATACTTCAAAATAAGCTTAAATGTCTGCGGGCATTTCCCTTCATGCTGTAACAATGCTTGTCAAACCTTAACACGGAGATGTTAATCCCTGTCAGGCAGCTTTCAGGAAGATGCCTGGCAAATGATCAAGGTGAAGTCATCTCAACATGACACACGACAGTGGGGCAGAATGCTGTGCCAGCCAGACTCCAGGAAAGAGCAGAGTATGGTGGATTAAGAATAAAAGAATAAAACACGTGCATCCCTCTCAGACAGATGAAAGAGCTACACAGAGAAAAGCAATCACAATCACATACAGTGACTCAATTTCGTGAGTACTACAGACTGAGTTGTGTGAGATCAGCAGCTCAGAGTATCTTCAGGGACCTGATATAACAGCTGTACACAGCAGACAGAGGTGAGATATGTAGAAAGGAAAACCTTTGGCTACAGAGCTCAGCAGTGAACAAAACACACAGTTGTACAGTTTTTGCTCAACAGGTAACATTTTATTCCAACCCTGGCTGTACAAACAGCATGAGCTTCTCACTTACATGCTGCTATGAAAAGTCTCACCACTTCTCAGCTCCATCGTCCCTACCAGCTATGACTGGATCCAGTAAGAGTTAATATGACAAGCAACTAGAGACTGCTTGCAACAACCAGACAGCCAATGAAGATAAAGATCTCTGGAAAATATAAATGCTGTGTCCGGTTTAATCCTGTGCCAGGACTGCTCATGGTGTTTGAAGCTCTTACAGCCTTCACTCTGCACACAGACAACAGAGTGGTAGCAAGAGACAGCTTAGCTGGCTGGCATACAGTGAGCTAGGAAACCACAAAGAGCTTCTTTAATACATGTACGAATCATACATGGGGCTTTCACCAGCATCCTCACTGTGATTTTTGTGATAAATCAAGGACAACAATATTTGGCTGCATGTAAACCTGCACATACAGCTAGCTTACCTTGCTGTCTGAATCAAGTTCTCTTGCCCAGTACATAGACAAATCTACCCTTAATATAAGGGAACCCACAAAAGCTGGTGCTGGATTCACCACAGTTGAAGTAGAAGGTTTGTATCGGCATCACAGACAGAGGAGTTACCACCCAGCAACAAAGCATCTCCTGAGGGGGTATAAGCAGCATCCACACAGGATCACGAGAAAATCAGCAATACTTCTGAAGGTCATAATTAACGGCCACTTGTACCAACTCTTCATTTTCTACTACCAGTCAAACCTCCAAAGGTTGTTTAAATTAAACGCAGCCCTTGCAGACGACAAAGGAGGCACTGTGAGTATTGGAAATTACTGTCAATGCATACTAAAAAGTTAGGGTTTTCTGAACTAGAAATCAACAAGCAGTTTCCAACAGACAGAGGGGGGAAGAAACTGAGGCTCTCCTCTACTTCCCCACACCCAGTGCTGAAACATACTCAAAGCATTTTCATCAATTCAAAAAGAATTTCCACATCCTCTGACCCCAGCCAGAAAAAGTACATTTTCTCAGGAACCACCACAACTCTACCAATTTGAACTGTAATTCAGTAGCCTGTCTTGTACAAGATCAAGTTCTGAGCTGGACAGCTTTGATAACCATTTATATCAGCCGCGCAGTTACGAGAAAAGACAGATTTTAGCACTCAAATTCAGTAGCAGAAGGACAGTAGCTCCTGTCCTGAGAGAGCACAAATAGAAAACAAGTCGTGATCAGAACAGTGAGGATTCTTAACTGCAGAATGATTTAACCATTATCCTTGCCAGTTCATCTGCGGCCTTCAATTCTTTAGTGCTTGGTTTCATTGATGTCTCCTCAGATCTCAAAAGAGATCATAGCGAGCTTGTACAAACCTAGTTCTTCCATGAGTTTCTTCAGTCCTCCAGTTTTACATCACCAGCATGCAATAACTACTTGTTGCTAAGACCATACCACCCCGCAAGGCTTGGCACAGGCTTTCATTTAACTAAAGCAATGTACAGATCTGTGCTGTATGTCAATTGGACTGGGTGCCTTGCCTACCTAGGATGGTTTGTCAAGCTGGCACATGAGGTCATGCACAAATCCAGACAGGATCTCTATCCCTCATCACAGGCATTACACAACTGACAGCTTCATATTAACCTACGAGTCTACTTATCACCAGGGACTCAAACACAGAATAAAGTGAATAGATTAAGGATGCAACTGCAAACAACTTCATCAGCCATGGAGGCGACAGTAAACCAAAGGGCAGAGGAACGCTTAAGCAGAGTACTTACTAAAAAATACTTGAAGCCCAGGCCTTTAATCATCAATTCCATCATAAAACTATGTGATCAAGGAAAGTTTCGGTCAGAATTTTGGACACTTCTTTATGTTTCAAGTCTGGAGTTTTCGTCTTGTTTTTGCTGTTTTTAAACTAGCTGTTACTTAAGGATATCAGTGCGAGATCATGACCTCATTATTTCCACTCCTCCAGAGTCTGTAGGTCTCTCTTTGATGTTTCTAATGTCACATAGTCTCAGGATATCACCTTTCCCATGAAATTACACAGATTGTCCCTCTCCACTATTTGCATTCTCCCTTATACACAGAAATGACACTTCCTGCGATTCTTCCAACTGTGAAAAATAGCCACTTAAATAAAATACAAAGCCACCAGCCTTGTTTTTTAAACCAGCTGTTTTAAGTTAACACATCCAAACATTTATAAATGTTTCTCTTAACTATAAAAGTCAATTTTTCCAGAAACTGTCCAGAAAAAATAGTTCTTACCTTTGCAATCCCAAGATCAGCTGCAAATGCTACAATAAATGTAACAGTTTTTGGGCATATGTTGCCTTTTAATATATTCTGTACAGTAGCCAAAAACTTCAATAGGACTAGTGTGAAAGAAATCATTATTGGCTTAAGATAGAAAGGGTCATGCTCCTTTTCACCTAAACTCAATACATGGAAGCCTGAACAGATGTGCTTATTTGAGAAAGATCAGAATTATTAAATTCACAGCTACTCTTACTAAGAAAATGTAATCTTGTGTCTACATTTCACATCACAAGCTTTTCCTCAGCAAAAACCAAAGTTTGCTCCAGAAACAAACAGGAAAAAAAAAACAACCATGGAAGATATCTAGTCACTTCTCAGAGATCCATAAACTTAAGATGACATCATTTCCTTAGTGGTGGTCCCTTTATTTATTTGATTTTCCCTCAACAACCATGCATAAAATGTTGATAAAGTCAAAGGATGAACCTTATCTCCCGTTCTCATGATATTTTAGGTACATAGAAGTTTCCTGGAAAAGTTTATACATTTAGGGATGTTTGGACCCACTGGTTTCTCAAAAATAAGGCAGTACCAACTGACATCCTCTGAGGTTAGGTCATACATTTCGATGGGAATCTGTCCCTCAGCAAGAAGGATATGAAACTCACCCACACAATCATACTACCTCATACTGCTCTTTAGGGTGGTGGTACAGATTAGTGCTTCCAAGACTGAGGCAGTTTAAAAGGTAAATCTCCTTTCTATGTAATTTTCAAATCCATTCTAGATATTGAGAGAACACGCTAAAAAGAAAATAAATCTGTTTACTTGGGAAATAAAATGGCATTTGTACAGCATTTCTTCAACAGCTGCTTATGAGCAAAGATAGCACAAGTCATGAGGTCTTATCTAGCAGGCCTGGAAGAGTTTTGTCACATGAAGAACAGACACCCTCTCTGTCCCACCACCGCTGGGAAGTGCTTTCTATATTCTCTCGGTTCACGATGTAGATGAAATTCAGTTATCCCAATGGTAATTTTAAGCCCAAATGAAAACTGGTGTGCTTTTCAAACCTGAGAGTGCAACAGCTTCAGGAAAAATCCTACATAATCCTGTCATTCCCGTGCAGATCCCAGTATCAGCCCCAGGTTCAAAGGAAAACACCTCACAAAACTAATACATCAAATTTGCTGCTCTTGCCAAAATAAAACTTTGCTTCCTTATTTTGAGTAAAATGATGGTAACAACAAAGCAAGACAAAGGAATAACTCCCCCACAAACGTACCAGATGAAAAGTAAGGCAATTACATATTCCTCATTAAGTCTCAAAAGCCCAACAGCGTATGCTCATGATGACAAGCCATGCCAAACAAGAAGTTCAAATGTCCCACTTGAAAAACTTCATCCACTTGGTAGAAAAACTAAGTGCGTATGGAGCCACGCTGCACACTTTAATTGTCTGGCTATTTGGGGAAAAAAATAAAAATAAAAATAGGTGTAACTGCAGTTAGGCCAACGCAGATAAAGATAGGAATGAACTGACCTTGACATATGCTAGGAAATGCCTGCATTTTTCCTGCATGTATGACAGTTCTAACTTCTCTGTGATCTGTCCCACCGTCTCTCCAGAAGTCACAAAGTAAACTCTGGGTTGTTGGCTCTTTTCCTTCTTTGCTACATCTGCAGTCAGGTTATAATTCAAACCTGTTTCAAAAAAGAAAAAGAAGAAAACAAAGGATGTAAGTGAACAATAGCTATATTTCAGCCCCTATCAATGGATCCTGTTGCCCCTGAGGCATGCACACTTAAATAAAGGTCAGGCCTTGCAGGCCCTCAATCAATCACGAAGTTTCCTGTGGCTGTGCAAAACCAAATCTAATTACTGACATACTCCCAGGATTTGTGCCACTGGCTTCCCAGCCCTTCCTGAAGGATGCTGAGCAGAAGTAGGAAGTCATGTAAAAACATACCTAGACAAGCACACTTTAATAAAGAAAGAAAAAAAAGAAGAAGAAAAAAAAAGCATTAACTATGCTGTTAACAGAAAAAGCAAAAACACGATACAAACAACAAAAGCCTCAAGCTTTGCTTTCCTCATACAAAAGGACAAACTAGATACGAGCCAGACAGGATGCAGAATTTCCCAACAGTTACTTTTGTTCACTTACAGTCATCTTTGCATTTAGCCCTTAACTAGAGATCACTGCCTTGCACTTGGTATCCTCCTTTCAGACAGTACAGATCCCTGGCAGCTTATAAAAGACATCCTCAGAGACTAACCAGCTGTATCTCCCTAAATCCTGTTTCCTGCTGCTCTACAGCACAGGTAGCTTAACACAACGGATGGATTTGCAGCTGGATGTATCTGTGTCCAAAAGAAAACTTGCTGTATCAAGGAGCAGTATAGCAGTGAAATAATCAAACTGTACCTTTTCTGTCAACAACAAGAGCAGGGAAACTACAATAGAAGTATGAAAGCTTGCTCTGCTGGCTGCAGACAGGGGAAAGGCAGGCAATAGTCCGTACCGGTTTCAGCCACCATCAAGGCAATAAGGGCAGTACCATGAGATCGATCCACTATAAGCTTAATTAGTTAATTATCTTTGTACACCACAGCTCACAACAGCTTTGGTGCTGATTAATTACATAAGTAGAGTGTTTGTGATATTATTACTTTTTTATTCATGTTTTAAATTCCTGGTGATTGATGCTAGATAAAGTGCTCCATTTATATATAATTTTTTTTTAATCTAGAATTCTATACAAAAACCAGCATGAATGTAATATATGACTAGACTCAGTGAGGACTTCTACCTGAGTTCAGGAAGGGCTCTTTGTTGTTGTTTGCTGCTTGTTTTGTGTTGTTATTGTGTTGTTTCTTTAAAATCACTGAGAATTGGTTTCTCAAAATCAATGCTGCCGTCCATGCAATCACCACTAATCCCTATTATTCACTAACGTCTCATTACTTTGAAGAATTCATTTAACAATAGCATAAACTTGGTGCAAAAGCCTGTGTGGGCAACTGTCATTTCTGTAAGTCACACCCTGCCTGCCTCACTGCGCTACATGATGCTTTCTGATCAGAAGCTCAGGGTTTGGCCTGGTTGAAATCCCAGCAGTCTTTCCCTTTGAAGTGTTCACATCCCACACCCATCCCCGATTTTCCCTTGTCTGCTTCCAAGACCCCACATTGAGGCGTGCAGGCTGAAAGCTGTGCCTCCCTCCTCTCGGCGACACCGAGGAATTCTGCCAGCAGACCCGGAGCAGCCTGCATCTGCAAGGTCACACATCCCTCCAGAAAGGGACAGGCTGTGGCCAGAGGGACAGAGGCCCTGAGAAAGGCTGCATCCCGCCACCAGCCCCATAGCAGGCCTCAAGCAGAACGTTTCCAGCTACCACAGCAGCAGTGGATGTTTTCAATCAAACCGCGCCATTCCCATCCCCCCCCCCTGCCTGGCCACCACCTCCCCTTTATTTTGACAACTTGTTTCTATGTTATATCCAATGATGACACATCGGTGGAAAAACTGAATTATCATGAGTAAGGCTTTTTTCCCCTCACCCCCTTCTCCATCCTCATTGCTTCCAAAAAGCCAATGGAGGGGGGGAATAACTGGCAGACTCATCCCTCCTGGTGGTTTAAGTTCTTCCTTCTCACCCAGCAGGAGATTTAACTCTTGCAGGTAATGCTCTCAAGTCCCCCTCTGGCTGCTTTAAACATAGCTAGCAATGCTTCTGGGGATCTGCCTGTTCACTTCAGGCAATTAAAGTAAAACTCTAACATGGATTTGATGAGCTTAGACAAACAGATTCATTTTTCTAGTAACTATTCCTTTCCCATATGCCTAAGAGGTGTCGATAACAGCTCCTCTGGGAAACTGCGGGTCACATCTGCAAGACAAACCCCAGCCAGCAGGGCAAGAGAGTTACTCCAACTGGTGCCTGGCCACCACAGCAACATACCTGCTGAGTAAACAGCATTTTTATAGTGGATTTCCACTCTTAGGTAGCACAGCACACAAGCAGGCAGCCTGAAGAAGACACAAGTGAGGAGAGAGGGGAAACAAGGCAGCAGCATCCTATGGTTTGAAACAAGAACGCCACAGGCTGAGCAAAGGAGGGCCTGTAAATCCCCAGCCAGTAGGCAAAACCCTTCACGGCCCACTCAGAGGATACTATGGTGCACAAAAAGCAGGGTTCAAAATGCTCTGCAGGAATAAGCACACCCATAACGTCCTGTCAGACTGGCACTGACCTGGGGCTGGAGAGCACATGGAGAAATTAAAGAACTGCTTAAATAAGAATGAAAAGTCCTTGGAAGAGGAACGCGTTTCTTCATCTTCTATACCAATAATTGTGAGAATAAAATTATTCATGAACCTTGCTCACAGAGAAAACTCTTAAATACGAAACAGCTATTTAGAAGGTTTGCTCTGGCAAATGACAGCACGCACAGGACATTGCCTTCCATCCTTTCCCAGAAAGCCTTCTTATCTTCTTTCAAATTTTCTGTGTCATTCCTAGCTTCTAAGTAGGAAGTTAGCTAAGCTGCCCTGAGCATGCACTGAAAAACACATCCAGCAATGCTGCTGAGGGATTCAGAGGGTAGCAGTGATTCAGGCCTGCATCCAAGTGGATGGGAAAAAAGAGACAAATAACATTGCTGCACCAAACTACAGCAGGATACAGATAAGGAGCGCCTACTTTTGTCAGGTTTTGGATCAGGCATGTTTCTTCAATCCTAGAAACATGTCAAAGCAGAGCAAAAATATGAAATAATCCATTATTCTGAACTAAATCTCAATCTAGACTCTCAGATAACAACATTTGGTGCATATGAGAACTGCCCCAGAAATGTATCAACACACAAGCAATGCACATCTGAAGCAAAAAGTAAGGAGAAAGTTTGAAGAATTACCTAAGGTATTTAACTATAGCCAAATACCCAAAAACTTTTGTTTTCACAGCCACTAAAATTCATCTAATCCATCTACTGGTGCTGGTTTTTTAGATTTTAATGTTGCACAGGAAATTATCTAGATCATGGCCACAACTTAAAATCCATTCTCTAGAAGGACTGAATGCAATAAAAGGAACTGATGCATGGAGATACCAGCAGCTTCTGTTTCTTGTTCTGGTCACTCAGAAGTGTGAAGCCTGAAGAGGCTGCTGGATCCTGCTCATCCAGGCTAAAAGAGAACTTCTCACTCTTGCCTTTTCTGAACTGCAATTCAGCCTGATGCTCAGGTTCGTGAGATGTAGCTGTGGCCAGGCAAAGCATGAAACATCACTGAACAAAACAACCATGGCAATTCTGAGCATACAAACTCTCAGTATAGCCCATAAAAGATGACATGAATAACAGTGACTGTGCAGTGCAGAACCCCCCAGGAGCCTTTGACCGTTATTTCCAGGGCATGACAGAGTCCCTCTTGTCTTCATCAGTACTGCTCATGCCTCCTGTAGCCCCACAGCCACCCTGCTATGCAGCCATGTTACATGCCAATAGCTGTATCAGATCTAAACTCAACCTGCATCCTAGCGTAGAAGCTAACAGAGGAGGACAGAATACTTTCTGTCACTTTAAGATGCCTACGGGATTTTTTTTTCTTCCTTTTCTTTTATTAAACTGTGTGTAGTACATACATCTACCTAATCCAGCAAAGCTACTTCCTTTCTTTCTCACCCTGTGAGAGCAGCTGACGCAGGAGGAGAGAATTATTCTACAAATACTGAAAGTCTGGGGGGGACAGACAAATCACTGTATTTCTCACAAATCCAAGACATACCAGTGGCTGGCTGTGTTTGTTGGCGGATGCTCAGCCCTCCAGCTAGCACTGAGGGAGAATGAGGGATGGACAATGCTTGGCATTTACAGCAAAGCACATGATTCAATTGGGCATGGCTGTTTGTTCAGGCAAAATCATTTCTACTACAAGTTCATACTTCTGAAGACCACGGTCTGCAAGTAGTATACACAAAAGGGATAGGAAATATACAGTCACTGGATTAGTAAACATCAACTCCCAGATAGCTATTACATGACCAATAGTGCTGCAACTGCTGTTGGGGGAGAAAAATAAGAGTGGGAATGGTTTACATGCAAGTGTGAGACACTGCTAGGAGAAGATAGCTTTTCTTCCCAAGACTGTTAATGACACAATCACAAATTCACATAAGCACTGCAGACAAAAGAATGCTACCTGCACATACACCTTGACTTTCTAAACATTCTGTAGTAAGTAACCAACATTAGCTGCCCAAAAGTCAGAGAAAAGCCTCAAAACTGCCCAACCTGCAGTTTTGAGAGTCCACACTGACAAAGACAGTATTCCTTTAACATAATATTCCTCCTTTAATACAATATTCCTCCCTTAGCAGAGCAGCACTTTCAGTGAGCACTGTACTCTCACTGCCTGACTTATCAGACAGTTCCCAGACATGTGAAGCTGAGACCATCTCAGTGCCTCTGCCACAGAACTTAACCATAGCATTTCAAAATGTCTGCGTGCCTTTTAGAGTCCAAACTGGACAGTGATGTACTTAGAGGAATAATTTTTTCCCCATATTTAGCCACAGAGATGAACAGTTGTAATAGTTCCATGAATTGTTCCACCCTTTGTTAGTTGATACTCTTCAACTACAACATAATTAAAATGGCCTGTTAGATTACAAACTGAAAGCTTGTTTGAGATACTCATATCCCTGAGGGCTTTTATCCATTCAGATTGTTCTGCCTGCAATGTTTTCAAGACTATTCACTTTACAAGAAGCATTGTATAAAAAGACAATGGTTGGAAGTATTATAATCATCTACTTAATAGAGTAAAAATTCCTCGCAATGAGGCAGATGTTAGCCACCAGAGAAGATGCACATGTACTTTCACCACAATAAAAATCAAGAGTACAGTTTGTATGACCATGCAGAGGAATTCAATTGGCTTTTACAAGACGCAGCGAAGCAGAAGATAGCCCTTTTGTGAAAAAGGGGAACGTGGATTTAAAATGAGACAAAGATGGACCATTTATGAGCTGCAGGTGATGTGACATTAAAGCAAAAGGACACATTTTCAACAGTATCCCTAGAAATATTATTTAAAAAAAAAACACCAAAAAACTGAGATATTAAGTACTTCTACTCATGAATTTAAAGACACAAATAAACACCCCTAGAGCACCCAAGGACAAGTTGTTTCTAACTGACAGAAGATGAGAATATCTAAAAAGCAAGCAAACAAAAACATCACTGTTTCAAAGCAGGCATTTGTCTGCAAAGAGTCTGCCATCATTTACAGGGAAGGAAAAGGTGCAGAAATAAAAAATGATGTTGCAGTTGTATCTGTCTGTTAGAATCCAGAGGTATCTTCAATAACTGTTTCTTGGGCTTTCAGGTGATAGAGTGCTGAGCTGCAAAGAGCGACTCCAACAAGCTGCTTCTAGTTCTTATTCCATGTGAACGGTAGGAGAACAAGACCACTACCATTCCTAAAGCATGGCCAAGTTAAAACAGCGTGGCTAAGCTAAATAAATCCAGACTTTACGGTATTTAGAAACGCTGTATCTATTCCATAAAACTTAAGACAATACCTAAGACTTATAAACATTGCAATGTAAAAGACATAGGCAATAAATTAATGCAGTCAAGATGTAATGGTTGGCACAATTACATACCTTATACAATTCCATTCACCCAAAAAACTCAGTGTGGTTGACAGTAACTAAGTAACCTGGAAGATATTCTTACAGTCAGTAGAATTCTGGGATATTTATAATCATTTTACAGATGGGTAAACTGATGCACTGAAAAGGATTTGTTCACATCTGGCAGTGAACAAATATGAATCTGAACACCCGTAGTTTGGATTTACAGTGCTCCATTTCAAGAGCTCCTTGTAGATTTTCAAAGACTATTCATCCAGAGCAAATCAGTTGCTTTCTGATAACAATGATAGAGGATATGTACACAAAAATGCATTATCAACAGGCACCTTCTGCATGATGACAGTACAGTACAGTATGGGATATCTTTGCTCAGTTTAAGTCACCTGTCCTAATCCTGTTCCCTCCCTGTTCCTTGGGCCCTTCACTGAGAATGGCCTTGGCACTGTATACACGGCTTAGCAGCAACCATAACCATCACTGTCCTATCAACATTGTTTCTCCCCTAGAACCAAAACGTAGCACCATACCAGACACTCTAAAGAAAACAATTCTGTCCCAGCTGAAATTAAGACAAATGCCAAAGAAAGCACCTCAGAAGCCTCCAACTTCCTGTAACAGCATACCTCACGTCATCACAAAAAATAATTCTTTAATGGAAAAGTTCTGTAACTGATCCAAAGGTAACCTTCAATTCCATGTCAGCCTAAGAGTGCTGGCACAGGTACCTTACCTATTTCTCCAGGAACATGCTTGCCACTGAAACGAAAGCACGCTGTGACATTGAGGCAGTTAACAGGCTGCAAGCTGTCATGGCACTGAGGAGCTGTGATATTGATGGACGCTGGCAGGAAAATGGACACATCCATGGTAATGACAGGTCTGGATCTAAAGATCAATACAGAAGCTGAATTGAAGAATCATTCAGAGATAAGTTGCTCAATCAAAGGAAAATACAGTACATTTGGTAACGTGCACCATTTCAAGTAACCATGAGAAACAGAAGATCGCATTTGAACTCTAAAATGAATTAGCCCTTGACATAGATGGCAAAGACAACTAGGTTCTGAAGGAAAATCAAGGCATGAGATTGAGGTTTAATACCCACATGACACTCCAAACAGGCAGGAGGGGAAATTGTAACAATTATCTCTATCAAAAGTTGCATAAAGTCTTCCTGATGATGAAAAAAAAGTGACAAAATTAGCAATAAAGGATAATAAGCCCATTTTATCTATTATTGAAGGAGCATGGTGAATACAGGATAAGCAAAGGCCTTAGGTTTCCACAGAATGATCTACAGTAAAATCTGTGACTCAAAAGTTGAGGTGGGAGCATGAAGTGGGATATGGATCTATGCATGTTTCTTTCTTCCACCATAAGAAGGTCAACAGACACCACATTCACATTTTCTAGAAAAGGGAACATTTGGGCAACTCTCACCCAGCAGGTGCTAAGGACTGTATACATACTTTTTCACATTGCAGAACTCAGTTTCGGGAATCATCTGGTGCACTGAGAATGAAAGCTTTCCAGCCCTTAAGTCCTGCACCAAGCTTTTGCTACAGGTACTCTTGGCTGAAGAGATCAAGCAGATCAAGCTGAGGGCAACCAGGGCTTACATACACCCTCTCACAAGGCACAGAGATGCTGCCAGCTTGGTAGGGAAAAGCAGCTCAGAAATTCAGGTTCTACAGAGCTGCTCCAAGGAAAGACTTCATCCCAAGAACTGTTATTCTCTGTGTTTCAGTTTCTTTGTGTGTTCATCATGAACATGCTTCTCCAAAACCAAATCCAGTAATTAGAAATAAATACATAAATGAACAAAATTGCAGCAAGCAGTAGAGGCACTTCTGGCACAGTCCCTGCACTCCACAAGGCCATGAGCAAACCACTTCAGGGCTCTCACACAACAAGGCACTTAATTTGGGGGTGTGGGAAAGGGGGGAGTAGTGAGCAGGGATTGTAGTTACACCTAACTCATACTGACTGGAGCAAGCTTCACAGCAATCTCTGAGACAGCTGCTCAGACTCCTTTACCACAGCCTGAAATAAAAGCCTAAGTTTGCCGAAGAAATTTATCCAGTCATGATGCACTGTTTGATTTTTCCTTAAGGTGAACTCACTTGGTTATTCATTGGAAAAAACAAACCAAACAAAACACAACACATCCATTAAATGGCCAAATGCACACCCAAGCAACACAGTAACTGCAATCTGCCCCAAGCCCCACGCCTTCCACAAAAGCCTTTAATATCACTTGGCAAAATGTTTGTTGGTTTTGGCCAACAGACTTTACAAAGGCTTCTGAAAGAAGAAAAAGTTGATTTCTTCATCCTAATCTCAATCTAAACAGATTCCTCTAAAGAGACACACTCTGAACTGGCAGCAGGGGCCATTAATCAATCTGTCCACATAATTAGTCAGTAACACTCAGTTCTCCCCAGAAAGGTACAGGCAGCAACTGAACACTTTGATGGAGATCACTACCCTGCTGCAATGCACACTGCCTTATCTTTCTGATTGCCTTTCTCCATTCTGCAAGGAACAACAGTGCAGGAGAACCTGACACAGCTGTTCTTTAAGCAGTTTCACAGAAGCAGGGCTGTGAGGTCCTGTTTCAGGCCTTCACACAGCATTTTACAGAGAGGCAATTGGCTGCCTCTGCTTGCATGATGATAGCATAGAAAGCCCTTCAAAAGACTTGACCACTTGCTACACCTGTCATTTCATTCTCCCTGTCTCTCTATCTTGCTCTTTCTCAAATGGAAAGAGAGCCACGATTTCCCTGCTTTTAACAGCAGGTAAGCTGGCACAGCTGTTCAGCAGTTCAAGCATTTGTCTGGACAGCCTTACCACACCCCTGTATCTTCCGTTAAGACGCAGGTATTTCCACTTCTAATGACACCTTGTTACTGGCAGAAATTTTCTATTAAATATTTACAAGTGAAATAATGGAGTCATTGGCAAAATTAAAACTTCCCATTCCTTTCCCTAGGTCTGTGGGCCTCGAGCCTGCTCATACAGTCTGCTCCCACTGGAGTAATTTGCTGAACCAAGTTGTCACATCTCTCTCCACCTGATGAAACAAGCCATTTCATTTAATGCCTATAACTGAATAGTAACCCAAATGCTGTGTGTATTCACTTCTCTATATTTAATTTCCTTGAAGAGTCTTACTTCATCCTGCGTCTCACTCTAACTCGCAGAATTAAATTCTGGCATCATATGCAGCTGGCTTTTTGCTACGCTCTGTTTCCTTAAATCATAGTTTATGTACTTTATGTACATATAAGAACAATAAAAAAAACTTCTCACAAACTTGGAGTGACCTTTCTCAAAAGGCAGAGATGCAACATATCTCCTTAACCCATTAGTTTCTTCGCAGCCTTGAGAAGCCTACGGTTATCCCTCAGAATTCTGCTTAAATTAAAATGCATGTTCTTCAGTGCTAACCAGCTGTAATGCTATGCTTGAAAAACAATCCAGTTTGCTTTCTGACTCCAATAAATTAAGGAGAAAATCTGTGGGGTAGAGGACATAGACCACATTAGATATAAACAGAAAGCAGAAACAACATTAAAACAGCAATGGAGCAAAAAAGACATCGATCTCACCTTAGTAGTACAACATGGTCTGACAAGAAGGCTCCAACAGTCATATCTGAAATGTTTGTAATGTTTAGACAATTAGAGGCAATTCAGACAAGAGAGATGCAGAATTCACTTCTCACCACCAAGTCAGTTGGTAAATTACAAAGCATGCATTAGAAAATAAGTGCTTTCATGGCTAGAATCAACCAGCTACTCCCTTATTATGTCCAAAACATAATTACAGGATTAAATCTGCAACGACACTTCACTTCTACTTCAGAATTTGTCTATTATTATCATTATTACTACATTTTTGTAAGTTTATCATCATGACTGAGCAGCTTCCCCACAACTTATGACGCCTGTCAGGATACCAAGCACTCCCTACTTTAATACCTGAGTTCGTTACCATGACTGCCCAAACATCTGAACTAAGAAATAAGTTGAATTTTTATCAGGAGCTTTAGATAACACAGAGAGTAGGCAGGAACACAGGGAGCATCAACAGCCTCCCATAGCTGTGAGAACTAGCAACCTGGAAGCTACCAGCTCCACTGTTCTCCATCCTGTTGCTGTGAAGTAGCACACATACCTGGATAACCATTGCCATCCATATCAACGCCCCCTGATATGGACTGCCCAAACATCCGCAGCGTTGGGTTTATCGTCTGCCCAGACAGCTTCTGCAGTGGAAAACATACCAAGTGAAATCACTCACAGTCAGTAACACAGAGATGCCTCTGATAAAAAAAGAAAAACCTTGGAGCCTGATTTTCATGGGCTGGGAGTGCCACACATCTGCAGGAAGCCCTTCTGCTCAGGGCTAGGAGAGGCCAGCATTGGCTTACACACCTGCATTGCAACCCTCATGCAGACCCAAGACAAATAAAGAGTACATCAAACACGTTTCATGGGGGAAAGGAGGAAGTTCAACTGTGCCCCAGAGATTTTCCTTTCTTCCTTGTTGGTTTTTTTTCTCATTACTTTCATTTATGTAAATAAAAGTTTGAAGCAGCATCTTTGCAAAATTAATGATTAAGAGAAACAGAAAACCCTGTGCAACCATTTCTTTTCACAAAGTTTGCTAGCATACTCCAAGTCAAAATGATTAATTTTCACCCCACTTGAAAATTTGTTTTTCATCAATTATTATGCAGTATTTTGTGTCAGTTTAGAAGCTGTACCTCATTTCTGCCTCCCCAGCGCAGAGATTAATTAGCTCCTAACATCACTTCTTTCTTTTAATTACTAACAAAAAACTTTCTCTAAACAGCTTGAATTGCAAATGCCTTTTTCTAAAGCAAATTAATACACCAAAATCTCTTTCTCTGTGGCAATTCAACGTCTCACAGCTCTTACTCATTATGCTGGGCCACCAATGCAAGACCTGAATTCAAACCAGCGTCTGATTACAGAAGCTGCAGACTGAAGAAACCCATCCCACCAAGCAGTTGTGAGGCTGCTGGTGGCTCTTCACAGCTTGGGACATGTGGCCCATGGGATCTTCCTGCACAGTATCTGACAAAAGGTCAGACAGGAACTTTGTGGGAAAAAAGGACACCAAGGTGAGGGGAAGAAAGACATTCTGGCATCTGCACCCTGACAGCCAGCTTAAAGGATCCCAGTGCTCTGTCATGTTCAGATCCCCCTGGTCTCCCACCCACGGGTAGATAAGGCAACTGGAGGGCACTTCCTCCCCATATTACATCACATTCTGGGGCAGGAGTTCCTAGTTAGCGTGGTACATCCTGCCTATCACATCCCAACAGCCATCTGCAGGTTGTTACAGTACAGAAGTACGACAGTAACCTAAGGCAGCACCAATGATCAGCAATGGGAATGAAGAAAGGTGGGGGAAAAGCTAACAAAAATAAATGAGTGAAAATGCATACCCTGCAGCCACCATCATGCACCTCTCTTGGCTGATTTAATCAAGGAAATCCAGAACATTAAGACGGCTCAGGGGTAGAGTAATAGGATACAAACCCTTTCACCTTTAGGTTCAGATCCAGGGCAGACAGGTAAAAAAGTGAAGCTGTTACCAAGTTTTTGGTGTTGCATGCAGGAAGTGAATTGGTGGTTTGCTGGTCCTGGAAAATGGCACAAAAATAGTGCCTTCTCAGGGAAACAGTGTCAAGGCACCCTGCCACCTTCTGGAGCTGGGCTCTGTCCCTCCAGGGCAAGTGGAGAGGCATGCACTGTGTCTGCTGCCTTTGCTGCTCCAATTAGGAGGGCGAGATAGCAAGAGGGATGTTTTCCTTATCACCCTGCTGATCTGGTCTCTTCCAAAAATGTTGCATTTCCCTATGAACGGCCCCCCCAAAAAACCCCAAACCCATATCAAGTTCCTGACTCTCTTCAGCTGAAATGCTCCAGCCTTTGAACAGCCTGAGAACCCCACAACCAGCAGCTCTCAGAGATGTCCAAATGCCACAAATCAGTGCATTTTATAAGTATCCATAAAGAAACATTCAACTTCCTTTTTGAAAAAGCAGTGCATGACATACACATGCTAAAAGGAAGGACTGCACTTCGATGGTCTGTCAGAAAAGCCTCCACTATAACCACTAAATTCTTTTAATTCTGCTTAAACTGATTTACTGTGGAGGATCCCACCCAGCAACAAAACAAAACAGCCAGAACTTCAAACACATGGACAAAGGGAGGGAAGACTTAGGCTCTGGGAAAAAAGAAATGTGCTAGACAGAGACAAGGGGACACACTGGGCAGTGTGAGCCTATTCCAGCCTAACTTTAACTTCCTAATAGTGGCCAGAAAGGTGGTAACCTTAATCCACCACTGTCATGTATTCTCATATCCAAAGCAGAAAGTCAACAAGCTCTGTAAAGGCAATTCTGGGGAGAATGAAAGAGAACTTAGGTCCTCTTCCTTCTCATGGTCTGCCTTCGTGGGAAGAAAGCACAGCCTCCTGACTCTCACTGGCCATTCCATCATTTATATATGCTCGATCTCTGCAAAATTTTCACTTCAAATAGAGCTATTACTTCTAAAAACTGACACTGAAATCCCAAGACTTCATCTGTTTCAAGCAGAAAGCTACAAGAAGTAAGACTGTAACAAATGACAGAGAAAAATATCTCCTGACTAACAGTATTTTACCTCACAGCATAGATACAGACAAACATCGGCAGAAGATAGCATCAAACTGGGACTGAGAAAACAATGCAGAGCTTGAACTGCATGAGGCTACCTATAAGGGGACCCCTAAGTATAGCTAATTTCTGCAGGTCCCAGGAAAAAGATTTCAGTCAGATACTGTAAAAGAGAGCAGGTGCCACGTACCATTGAGTACTGAGGTACAATCCCGTTGGCATCTCCATGATAAATATACACTGCTCCTATGTAGTTATCCTCCTTAGGTGCCCCGATGGCAACATCTGTAAAACAATTCACATGACAAACGTTCCATCTCCATGCAAAGGGATAATACCCCCATCTCTTGTGATGACAACCTGCAGCAACACCAGCTCAGCCTTAATGGAACAGCATGCCCTGAGTGGCCTGGAAGAAATAAATTCAGGCGTACAGAGAGCAGGTCAGTCTCCAGGTCAGCCCTTAATACGCGCTGCCAAAAGTAAGGCACCAGCACCAACGGCTTCGCTCTCATCTACTGTTATCAAATACAGCCAGATGCCAAGGACTTCAGCAGGCAAATCCTAAGCAAGCAACCTGTCCTTAGCATGAGCCCAGGGAGGAGTTGAGCAGCACGACCAGCCCCACCGACATCTCTTGGGAAAAGGCACCAACCTGGGAACCCATCGTCATCGATATCACCAAGGGCAGCAATGCTCTCCCCAAAGTGTGCGTTGTAGGCCCCATCACCAGCCAGGACAAGCTGCTCATCCAGCACGCCCTAGCAAACAGGAAATAAAGCAGGCTCAGGGGAACCCTGCCACAGGAAGCAGGGGCAGAGCTGTGAGATGACTGTCGCCCTCATTGCCAAGGAGTCCCCTTTCAGTGTAGGTCAGCTGGGTGCTAAAAATTGAAAGGGTTAATAACAAAACCAAAAAACAGAGAGCAGGCAAACGGTAAGATAAAAACAAACCGCTAAGTTAACTAAATGATAAATCTAAATCGCACAGACTGAGCTCATGAAGATTTCAGACATCTAAAATGTAACAGCTCAGATTTTGCTCCACTGGCAGACTTCATCTGAGGAGTAAAAGCCTCCATCCAGGCTTACTCAGCTAAACCTCAGTGAATCAAAGAGAATTCTTCCTTACGCAGAGAACACTTGGGCAACTGGATTTGAAACTTTTTCAAGTATTGGATGGAAGGATTAAAGCAAACTCCCCAAAAAGCTTTCTGAATTGAAGAACAAGGAAAAAGCTTTAATGAAATAAAGAGACAGAGAAAACATCAGAATAAATCAACTTTGTATTCACATGCCATGAGAAGCCATATATGGATCTGGTATTTCTTGCCACCCACTTTCTGGTCACATACATAAGCCTCAGTTTTTTGCAGTCCTCCCTCAAGGGGAAAGGAACAAGAAAACAAGATTTAGTTACACAATCCAGCTCTGTATCCACCTCAAGGGTTGTTGGCTTTTGTTTTGTTTTGTTTTTGCTTCCTTTGTGAATGAGGGTAAACTGCCCTCTGGAATATGCAATAAAATCTTTTTCTTGGCTGCAGGGAGTTGCTGACTTTAAGAAAATCCCACATAATGAAATTGAAACACAAGAGAAGAGATACTTGGGTGCATATGTGCAACTCATTTCTCTGCAGTCTTCCTAAGAAAGGGAAAAATGTAAGTATGCTATACCCAGCATCACTATGCATGCTTGTAGTACAACGCAGTGTTCTCTGATTCACTGCAACGAACTCTTAAGCACTGGTGCCTGCAGAATGAAACTGCAAGCTTTAATGGCCACATCCCAAAAGAAAGTCCACAGTCCTGGAAGCCACTACTCTTTCAAGTAGTTCTTGTTGAAGGTGTTTTATTATTTAACTTTTATCTTTTATAAAGTGAATCCATGTATGCTCTCACTGTTAGCAAGAAGTATTAGGTATAAATTGGCTCAGCATTGGGGACTTTTTCTGCTGGATGATCTAGCAGCCATACTCCAATATATATATTGGGCAATCTGGGCATCAAACTGAAAAAGTAAAGCTCATTTAAAGGAGAAGCACTAACACAAAATAAAACTACACCAAAGACAACTCGCAAGTCTCTCAAATGTTTCCTATAAGGCTTGCACTGACTGCTGTGTCTCACACAAACTTTAGAGCTGTTAAAATTCTGTTGAAGCAAATCAATTTAGTTTTAGTATGTAACAAGTTCCCCTCTGAGACAGCAGGTTTTGGACCTGAATGTTACTTGTGTAATAAGCAAGCATTCATTGTTTTCCTATAAATAGAACATACTAATGATGTTGTTTTAGTGACAGAAGAAAGTTCAGACATTTCCAAAACTGCTGTTGGCACACAAGAAATCCAACAGTATCAGCTGATAGGACCTTCCCACCACAGGCCACGGTGTGAAGATAACGTGAATTCAGTCTCTGCTCTCCTCGCATAAGGAATCCTAAATCCCCAGCCGTTTCTGTTCCCATTTGTAGGTCCCAGCGACCACCCAAAAGACAAAGTAAAACTCAGTCAAAGCAGCTGACTTCACTTGGTTTTGGCACCGAAATCATGCACAGCCACAAGTGCCGCAAAGTTTCAACGTAAAACCAGAAACTTTCCCAGACCTCCTTGAAAGATTCACAACTCTGTGATGAATGTGGGCTGGTCTCTGGGAAACCATGATACCAGATGAGTTTTCCATGACTGCATGTTACAGAGTTTCAGCGTGCGGAGCTGGAGGGGACATCAGCTTTACCCTGCCCAGACCCACACCCATAAAATCCCTTACCAAGTAGTTCCTGGACATACTCACGTTTCCTCTGTTGATATAGACTGTGACTTGACCCTCATCTCTGATCTCAGAAAACATAGGTGCTCCGACCAGCAGGTCTGACAACCCGTCAGAATTCAGATCAACTGCACATAAGGAGGAGCCAAAGTAAGAGCCCATCTGTAACCAAGCCGAGTCACAACAAAGCATTCAGTATCTGCCCACACACAGGAGGAAATCATTTAGGCGTGTTTTTTGTTTGCTTCTTTTTTAATTTTTCATTTTCATTTCAAATGATGACCTGCTGCTTTATCACTCACAAATACTCCTACAGAGAAACCCGAGGGGATACTCAGGGAATAACTGGCAAGAATTTAACACTTTACTGTAACTGTGCATCATCTTGCATCCTCTATCAGAAAAATACACTTTTTTTCTTTTTTCTTTCTTTAACTTTGGCATGTGTTTAAATGAGACACCCAGGCCTTCCTAGCCTAGCTTTCGCTGGTCAAATGCTTAAAACCAGCAATAGGGTGAAACAAGTTTCCTAAACAAAGACCTTACTAGTGATCACTCACACCTAGTACTACACTTCCTAAAGAGCTGAACTTTCCACACAAGAAATCTTCTGAAAAAAAACTAAAAAAAAAGAAAAAGAAAAGGAAAATAAGGGGAAAAGCCAATGAGAAGAGGCATCTGAAATTACCACTCATTTCTGGAATACTTCCCCCTGCTCTGCTTAAATCAGTCCCCTTCAATTAGCAGTGCTGGCTGTGGGTTTCACTTATAGCCTTCTCTCTCATGCAGACAGGTGAGTTGACATTGTCAGTAAATTGTCATCAGAAAGTTTCCAGTTGATACAGAGAAAACAAGTCACTTTCTATCTCTAATTATTCTTGCTTGATAAAACTAATTTGCTTAAGTTTAAGAAATTGATCACTTTCATTACATCATTTTCAACACAGGTGAATACGAGACGTTGACAATCTTCCAACCAGAACCAACACTGTGAATTTAAAAGCACACAAAATGGAAACCAAAAGCAAGAATGATATTCTGCTCTTAGTTCATCCACTTCTGCTAAGGTACCACAAGGCATACTCTTTGAGATCAGCTAAATAACACTCACTAAATTAAAAGCAACTTCTGAAGGAAAATTAAAAAGGTATCACTTCATATTTGAACTTGAGAGCTGTTAACATACCAGGGAAAACTGAGGTTACAAAAATAATTACTGAGATTAAAAAGAATGCAGCTCTTCTATATTCTCATGTTCATCACTGCGGATTCCTGACCCCACAGCCTTCACAGCTGATGGTTTCTGAGGCATAAGCCAGAGCTACCGGGCACAACAGGAGATGCGCAGCAGCAACTCTACTCCTTACAGTCTGTGAGATTTAAAAGCTGCTACACGTATATAATGGGGTGAGTTAAGGATAGAGTTTCAGTCTGTAAGTCAGATTTCTGTGTTTGAGTGGGTTTAAGGTCAGACCTCAAACCTAATTTGATTCCAGCTATTTTCTAGTTTAAGTTCCCTTGTGGATTTTTATTTATTTTTTTTTTAATCCACTAAGGTTTTTAAACAAATTTCTCATGGGTAAGGAGTGAAACTTATGCAAAGCATTTCACTATGTGTTTAGACAGTTTTCAGGGGAAGGCTGTTATTTACTTAACTGCAATGTGGTACGTCTGCAATGTGGGTGAGTTCACAGCGCTGTGAGAACCTGACATTTGTACACTTAACATCTGTAACAAGACACTGCCTTTTCTCTCTTCCTCTCTGCATCTGATTTCCCTGTTCAGCCTCCCACAGGAAAAAAACAAAAAAAAAAGGGAAAGAAGAAACTGCCCGCTGTTAAAGTCTGTCCAACAGGAATGGCAGAGCAATGAACTTTCACACCACTGCGAAGGACACAGCACTTGGTGAGAGTTTTTTTTCCAACCGTTGTTCAGTGCTCAGTGCTGAGCACGGCTGGTTATATCTCAGTCACAAAACAGAGATTTAAGGTGGGCTGCTCTTAAAATACAATTTTCATTTTGATTTCACAGAATTTGTAGCAAACTTACTACCAGGAAATAAGGCAACGACAGCCTAGAAGTACTTGAAGGACGTAAATACTTGATAAGTTAAGAATAATGCCATTAAACTCAAAAAAAGAAAGTTTTGGCTGAGATCTAGAAACTTCCTGATAGCTCTGTTTATTTGGCTGAAGAACAGATCTCCAGGATCTCAGGAGCAGATCCCTAGGGACATTTAAAAGTTAAAAGGGATAAAAATGAACAGGAAGCAATCAAGCACAGGAGTTGCCCTCCATGAACTGGGAGAGCTTTTCCTTTCATGATGCTGGCAATTCTGCTACAGAGTAGAGAAAGACAAACTTTGGAGACTCTCAAACACAGGCTTCAGCATCCACCCACACATCACTGCAGTTTTTACCTATTCCAGGCATGCCTTTGAAGACTGCAAAAGTGTTTCAGTGGGGAAAAAAAGATGAAATGAAACATGGCAATACTTCTAACTCGATACGGTCAAATGCTCGAGATCTTTTTGGAAGGTCTTTCCAGAGCAAGGCACCACCAGCAACCTTTTCTTCTGTATTTCCTCTCATCCCAGGAGAATACAGACAACTCCATGTCAAGGGTATCTTGTCCTCAGTATATTATTCCCAAATAAACCAACTTATTCTGTTTTTACCTACAGCTGGATGTACTGTCTGCTTCATTCTCCATGTGACACATCTCCAGCAAAGAATGCAGGCTGTTTCCCACTCAAACACAACACTGCACAGGGGAGCTGGATCCCACTAGCATTCACTACACTTCTAAGGAAGAGCAGAGAGCACTAATACTAATAGCAATACTCAAGACAGATTAATGGCAGATACGGGAAAAATCAATGGCTCTTTGAAGTAATGAAACAGCTCCTCCACACAATAGCATAATTCTCATGTCACTGCCATGTCTCACTGGGGCACAGAAAAACAGTGTGTGGCTTTGTGCAATAATCCCAAGTTCCAGGCTACCCAGAGCCACTGGTAACACCCAGTCAGAGAAAATCTCTCCCTCTGGGCTGTGCCACGCCTGAGAAAGCAAAAGCCGAAGCTGCCGCTACATCTGTGTGAGGCTAAAGAAACAAGTAAAATATTCATCGAGACACTCAATTTCAGTCCCATGGCCACTGAACAGACACTGCAGTTACCACCATTACACAAAAAAGGGAATACACTTGGTCTGTACAGACTTACGTGTTCGGGAAGGATGAGGAGAAACAGCATTTGCTTGAAAACTCATGGAGCCATGAATAGAAAGTGATGCTCTGAGATGATCCTGCCATTATTTCCCCTTCCTCCACCCTTACATGATAGCATACAAATAAAAAAGCTCACCTTTTTTCCTGAAGCCTGAAATATTTTTACTAAAGAGCCTGATCGTCTGTCTGTTCTGAAAATATAAACCTGAAAAGCGAAAGAAGAAAAAGGTTAACCAATGCTGAAATACAAGCACATAATAGTACACCACTGATGCTTGCTCAGTGCATATGCATCATGACCATAACCATGGCTACCATCAAGATCCAATTTCAAGACTATTTATTACTCATTCTTCTTTTAAAAGGCAAAGTATTGACTTCTCCACTTTCCTGAGGAATCACAGGCCTCCTTTCATCAGAGATGCTTGTACAGTATCTTGTCACCTGCTTTTTTGTGAGTACACGCGTATGTGCACACATGAGTATTTAAAAGCACCCCATAAAGGAGCACTCCATGTCACAAACAAGATATATTTGTAGACTACTAGGGAACGAGCAGGGCAAAGTGCTGAAAAGGCATGAGGCTGTTCCCCTTCTCCTGCCAATCCTTCCCTTCCCCAGCACAAGTGCCTGCATGTGCATCATTGCAAAATCCCAGTAGGACCACTCAGTGCATTTGCACTGCTTTGCCTGAAAATCTGTAAATCACCAAACTTCTCAAACACATTCCACTTGTTGCTCGTTTCTGTAGAAGAAACTGCTTAACCACGAACTCTTAGGGATAAAAATATTAATACAAGTCCAATCTTGAATCTTTTACCAAAAAAATTAAGAACCAGAGCACATGGCGTGTAGAAAGGGATTCCCTTTAGCAGAAAGGCTGGCTTAGTCAGCATTTGAGACTCCTCCAGCAGTGGACAGGCCATTTCCCAACAGTCCTTAGGATGTCTTTGGGACAGAGGATTTCTTATGTCCAAGGCCATGCAGCACAGCCAAGCACTTGACATAATTGAGTATGTGGTGAGTTATTAGTAGGTGGTGAGACACGAGAGTTCAAAGCCATTCTCGACTGAGAACACAACATGCATTTACTGCAGATAGTTGCTTTAGATATAAAGAACTCCCCAGTTTTTGCAGCAGCAAGTTTAGCAGCAAGTACATGGTGCCAGGTGTCACATCTCCAAACCCAGTTTTAATGACACTCCCAGTACCATTTGGGAAATGACTCCATCCCACTAAGTGTCTTGGCTTCCTCCTCAATGGAAAGGGTGTGACAATGATAATCACTTTCTCTCAGGAAAGTGGCAAGGATTAGCTCATTCAAGAGCGTGGAAAGCACAACAGGACTGCTCAGCATAATGTTCTGTATTCAACACCTCTTACTGCCGCCTTCATCGTTTGTCCCTGCTACCCATATCCCATGCAAAGGATAGTAACAGAAGCCCCTGCAACCAGAGCAACAGTCATTAACCTACAGAGCCAGCTGCTTCCTCATGGAACTCATGTTAGCAGCTGGGTTTTTAGCCTCTTCCTTGTACGGAATTTAAATGTTTCTCCACTGAGACTGGAAGGGAAATGCACTGGAGCCATTGCAACAGAACACCCAGGATAAGGAATCTGTGGCTTTCCTGTGAACGTCTCCTCAACAGTAACCTAACTGTACGTCCCCTATGTCCTAGGCATACCAGGTAAGATGTACGTACCAAATTCATCCTCTACTTTTATTTCGTTTTCCCTGTTTATCTGCTACTCTCAGGACACTGTTACTGCCAAAAACAATCTAAGCCAAGGGACAGTGTTCCTGCTAATGGACGCCACCCACTCCATATTGTTACAGCTCAGCTGATGCCCCTATGGAACAGAAGAGGGAAGAAGACGGAAAGACAGGACATCTCTGCTGAAACACATGGTGGCAGTAAGCCCCCAAAGGACTTTAAAGAGTGGGGAAAGCTGATTCTTTGCATCCCTCCCTCCCCTTCCCTACTCTTCCTCCTCCACCTTTGGTTCAGAAGTGTCAGCGGGGTCCTGGCACAGCCTCACCCTGCTCCCTACAGCAGCCACGTGTCCTGCACAGGAATTGCAGGCACAACACCTCCTGACCACTCACATGCTTACATCCTTGAGATTGTACATATGTATACCTACAGGAAAACCTTTTTATTTTTTGTTTTTACAAGAGCCTGTCACCAAGACTTCTGAACGCAGCTGGCAGAAACCAATATGCTAACCTACTAAGGAGACATCAAAAAGGCTAGTAAATGGCATTTCATGCTATCACAGGTGCTATCCTGAAGAAAATATGGAGCCCATCAGAATGCAGAGCACTATCAAATGTATGAAGAAAGCAAGGATTGAGTGGGAGAGAAAGGGAGGGAGGAGGGACGTTAAGCACCAGAGGGCACAGGTGGAGAAAATCTGCTGACTTCATCAAATTACCTCACCTCTTCCTTGAACAGTGTTCCAAAACTACCCTGCAGACAAAAATCTCCTGGCTTCTCTGACATGTGGGAACTGTGCCAGTACCACTCTGTTTGCCCAGTTACATCCAACCACATTATTATTGGGACAAAAAGCCACACCTTTCCGATGCCTCCATCCTGGGGAGCTCCTCCCACAACATCCGTGGTAGTTGGCTGAGAGAAATGGCCTGCTGTCACCGCATATCCTGAGTGGGAGAGGAGAGGATGAAGATAAATAACAAAAACAGAAAGAAAAAAGAAAAGAGCAAAAGGAAAAAGACTGAGAAACAACTGAGCAATCTAGGGTGTCCTCATTAGGTTTCATTGCTACACTTGAACTGTATCTCATAGCATTACAAAACCATTTTGTGCAGAATACACCAATATTCAGTTACAGAGCAAAAGGCAACGGGAAATGGTAGCACAGCCTCTGGTATGGTGACAAAAGTCAACAGAAAAAAAAGATGTAGGTACTGTCAGCAAAAAACATGCAGAAGTGCATGCAAAGCAGTTACAGAGAACAGTTTGAAAACCGTGAGTCTCACAAGGGAAAAAACAGGAGCATGTAGACAGAGGAAACAGAGCAAGGGGAGCACATCACTGCATGGAAGCATTACAGTCCCTCATCAGCCAGACAGAAGTCTCCTCCTTTAGTTAAAATGACTGCCCAGAAAAAGTCAGGAAAATTACATACATGCTTTTTTGGTTGAGAGGAGAGCAGAGGACAGTAGACAAAAAGGTCAGAAAAGTTAATGGCCATAAAAGATTTATGTTTATGTAAGTAAAAAAGGGAGGATAGATCAAAGAGCGTATCTGACAGGAGAACAAAGATTTTATCTAATCTGTTACATTAAAATGATATATAATAGCCAAAGAAGAGTGAAGTACTTTCCTTCTAAGGCTGTCTTGCATTTGACTTGATCTTCTGTAAATTACGAGGCTCTTGTCTGCATTGTAAACATGATAATTCATATCTATCAGTGACAAAACCTACGTATGTGTACATACACTCCTCATTTCGTTATCTCTAAGCAGCATCTTCCAAGTGGTACTTTTTTAATAGGGTCTGAACTGTGTTGCTCAGCTAATCCACTCTCACAGCAAGCACAGAGCTGCTTACCAAGGTATGTGTAACGCCTGGCGATCACAGCATCGTCGTTCAGCTTGTAGTACGTGTTGTCAGTGAGATTCAGTACTTTGACTGTTCCTGTCCAGTAATAAGATCCTGGTGCCCCCATGATTACCAGCTCCTGCAGCAGGAAAAACAGCAAGATGGGAAAAGAATGAGGGAAAATACAGGCAATAATCAAAACTGGACAAGAATTTCTGCTTTGTGCAGTAATGGGGAAGGATACAAGATATTAACATAAAACACCAATTATAAGCCTATCTACAAGAACCTGCATTCTGCAAGCATGTATATCTTTCTTTTCAAACATGGAGGCCACTGCACATGTTCTGAAAACATTAAGGCTCCTTGTCTTTAGCTTGCTTTTGCTCAGTTGCATTGCAACTTCAATGAAAGGCAATTACAAACTATCAAATTTGCCCCTGCTAACACAAAACCATTTATCCATCTGCTGACATTCCCAGCTCCCCTCAAGAAGACCCGAAGTCATAAGCAAGGCTAGAGAAGGTACAATGACGACACTGCAGATATTTAAACAGTAGCATTGACAGGGAAGGTGAGGAAAGCAAAATAAGGTGAGCTTGGTCCAGGAAGAGAAAGAGCAGGGCTTTTTAATCAGCCCACTGTAAGAAGCAGACATCTCTAAAGGAAATTACTGGTTATATTCTCTAAAGGAATAACTGGTTGAAAACAGCGCTTCCAGTTCAATGCCTTCCTGTTCAAGTTCATCCAAAATGAACTTTTCTAGCTCCTGAGCATTCAGCCCTCAGAGCTCTTTCTCACTGAATGAGAGTATATATAACGCTAACATTAGGTTTAAAACAAAAAAAAAAAAGGTTTTCCCCAAATACTTGGAAAACAACCTAGATTCACCTTGCCAAGACACAGGTTATAAAGAGTAAAAGAGGTCGGTAAAGAAAAAAGTCTTTCTTCTTCTTTTCCCAGTTACAAAAGGGTGAGAAAAGCTTCTTGTTCTGTTTTTCACACGTGGAAACCTAGACAGGCATGTGAACTCAGTTCCAGGAATTTCTTTGCTATTTTTGTCACAACAATTTGAAAGCAAAAATTGAATGGGTATTTTTTCAAATTGGCTTTTAGTGACAGAAGATCACCATCTCACTCGCTGCTGGCAAAATGGTAGACTTTTTTCCTCCCCCCACCCCCACCTTTGCTAGGACAAAGCAGTAGCATGAACAATCAGCATATGACAAAATGAAGACATGAGATTTGTTTATTTATTCATTTACCATGCTACAGTCAAAGGGGGATCCTGTTGCAGGACAACTACTTGTTGTTTTGTGAATTATATCTTCAGCCTAAAAAGCCAGACATTATTGACTACCAAATAATTTTATCCAGAAAACAAATGAAGGGAGGAGATGAAGATGCAGGGTGTGTTCGTGTAGCAAAGCATCCAGCAACCTCACAGCAAATCTCCACCCCTGGAGAGCAGCAGATGTGGCTTTAAATACCACAACAAAAGATTTAGTGAAGCCTGAAGAGCACTAAGCTTAAGAAAGTTCTCCAGCCTCAGAAAAGACTGAAGACAGCTGCTGTGCTTGACTGTTCCCTTCAATACAAACCACGGGTGGACTTGTGGCAAATCAATTCCATGCCCCAGATTCTGGACTGAGTGGCTGCTGTTTCAGGGATGTTAAACAAGAGAATTTCCTAATAAACCTAAGGGACAGGACCACATACTCAGCCAAAGTGTGAGATATGCTCAGCCACAGCTTTTTTCCTTGGGAGCAGCGTGTTCTTGAGGTCAAGGGATCACTGACCATCGGGAACAACACACATCAGCAGCATTGAAAATATGGTAGCAGCTTGCTTCTTTGACCTAAAAAGTGATTTATCTGCATTTCCTGCTCAGTCTGGAAGCACTGGAGCCACCATAAGGCCCCAGGCAATGAAAGTTCAAAGCTATCTTTTGAACTAGGGAGTAAAGAAGGGTTTAAAGCTTGGGAACAGCAGCAAGCTAGAGAGAACAGAGAAGCCAGGAAACAGCTGCTGCTGTTGAGCATCAAGTTATCAGGCAGAGCCACTGCAGCACCAGCACCTGCCATTCGGGTTTACTTGGACATCGGCTCCTGCCAGAGCAGTGAGGACATTATTAGTCTGGCTGTATCAGCTTGGAGAGCAAGCTCTGCAGCCCAGCACATGTATAGTTAGGAGTGAGTGTATACTGCACATGACAGCAACAAGACCCTGATGTGCACTAAAACAGGTGTGCATTCGTTGTTTTTGTTTTTTAAACCTTGAAACATTTCACATAAGGGAATCTTTGCCTTAGCTAAAATATGGTTGACAAAGATACAAGCATCCAGCTCTGGATACTATTTTTTAAATTTTTTTCTTTAAACCACCTTTTTGAAATGAAGAACTGAAGCATAACTGGAAAAAAAAAAATGTTTCCTACCTTACGTGTATATGTGCGTGTGTACATTTATGCATTCATACAGATCACAGAATGTCAGAGAATTGGAAGGAACCTTGAAAGATCTTGTCCAATCCCCCTGCCAGAGCAGGAGCACCAAGATTAGTCACACAGGAATGCATCCAGGCAGGTTTTGAATGTCTCCAGAGAAAGAGACCCCACAATCTCTCTGGGCAACCTGCTCCAGTGCTCTGTTACCCACAGATGCACATACAGCCACATGCACGCATGTTCAAACAAACCCTTTCAGGGAAAATTGTTTCAGGTCACCAATGAAAGAAAACAGTTAGCATTAGACACAGAAATATTTTGGTGTAGGTTTTGAAATGGACATGCAAAAGTATTCTCTGAGGTTAACTTTCAGAGTTTATTCACTCATGTTTGTTCACAGACCTGTCAAGATGAATTCACTTACATTACGAAGCCCTGGATGGACAAGCAGATAGACAGACAGCATAGAGGCAGGTGAGTGTTTGCTGTGTTACTGCAATTAGGCTTGTATGATGGCTGCATTTAAAGGCTCCCTTCCCTGGACACACGTGCCAGGAGAGCCCACTCACAAACCTAATTCCCACCTCTCAGTACTTCTGCTCACCTCGGTGAAGAAGCCTGCAATCCCCGCCTGGCATGAGCCATGCTCCTCCCCGTACTTCTTCTTATACTCTGGGCAAAAGAAGGAAAGAAGAACTGTTGTCAGTCTGTGGTCATGCAGGCAACAAGGATGCTACCCCACCTCTGCACAGCAGGCAGATCCCAGCTGAGTTTCTGTACCACCCTACATGCAGCCTGGAGGCTTCTAAGGGTGGGATGGGGTACCACACAAGTATCGCTGGGGGAGAGATGCTTCGGGACACTGGAGTAAAGGAGACAGCAACAAAAACATCAAGAAAAACCCACACTTCTCTTAAAAAAAAAAAAAAAAAAAAAATACACTAAGCTCAAGGCTTGGAGGGGAAGAAATCATGTTCCACCTCACAGGTTTTTTTTTCCTGAGCACTGCGTTGAAATATTTACCATGAGTGCACAGCTTCAGTGTACTGCCACTTCCTGCATGTTACAGTATGTTCCAAAGGATAGAAAAAAAAACCTCCAGGAGAAAAAGTAATTCAGGCTCTAAGCAGTCCCTCTGTAGCCTGGAATTTTTTTTTTCCCTTACAATGTTGTTAAGCATTATTAACTCATTCCTAAATCATAAAAAAAAAAAAAAAAAAGAAAAAAAAAGCAGGGAATCTGTGAGCAAATGGTGTCTTTGGAGCAGAGTAAATTCCTCACAAGCTGCATTTTATCATACTGAGGCTCAAAAATGAATTAACTGCTGCCTTCTCACCGCTTCTTTATTCTACATAACAACACACATAACCTGTAACAGGTAATTATATCTTCTTATATACAGATATATATACATTATATCCTTAAGATCTTAGGAAGATATGTATACTGATATAAAGTATATATTAAACTGTATTATATGTTTTGCAATACATACATACATACATTACTAGATACAAAACTATACATTGTATGAAAAAGAGAGAGAAAGGAAGTTGCTACTTACTGTATTTAATCAATACCTGTATTTAATTTTTATAAAAACAAACAAAGAAAAATTAACAGAATTCTCTTCCTGCGGTCCTGAGGAAGCTCAGATCCTCAGGGATCTGCAGAAGTTGCACAGGCGCTTGGGAAGCACAGCAGGACAGTGCAAGCAGAGCAGGGGCTCGCTCTGCTGGCAGGCCCCAGTGCCCACCACAGCTGCCCCAGGCAGATACAGGGACTGCCAGAGCAGCCGTGTCCCCAAACACACACCTTTCACAGCAGCAATGTGCAGCAGCATGCCTGCAGAGCACCAAGAAATGAGTTCACCCTTGGCTGTTCAGGCAGCACCACGGCTCAGGACTGCTGGCTGCTCACATACAGTTTCTTGCTAAGTCAGGCACACTCCAACTGGAAAAAATACTTGTTTGTAGACATGAATGCTTGTAATTAAGACTGATGAGGGTATGTGGTTTCTCCCTTTTGCATTTGCTGAGAAATACTCCCTGAGCATCCTGAAGCTCATGCTTTCCCTATGGCTGAGTTTCCAGCCCAAAGGATGCGCTGCAGCAAGCAAGCCCTGCATTTGCCCAAATCAGGCACTTCTGCTTCCAACCACGGTATTCTTCTTCTACCTGACATACTGAGGTACAAAACAGATCCTGCCTCCTCCTGAATTCTCCCCTAGTCGTGGCAGTCCAAAGGCACCCCCCTGACTGCGAACCTTGGCAAGAGGTGAACCCAGTGCAGAGCTCTAGGCCTCAAGCAGCCTCAGCAGCTGAGCCCCACTGACTGAGCGATGGACTGGAAATGGTGCATTTCTCTACAAAAACAGCATCACGCTTGGCTCACAGCTTCTTCATGCATCTCCTTCAACCAGTTAATCAATTAAATTTGCTTTAAAGCCAAGGGGGGAAATTGCCATAGATTATATCTAGCAAATAATTGCACGGAACGGCTCAACACAAGATGAAAGAAACAGAACTTCTTTCTTGGGATTTTTTCAATTTTTTCATATTTCTCCTTTTACAAACAGGCTTTGCAACACTTTTTCCCAATCCATCCTTCCTCAGCTATTTGACCAAGCTTTGATGACACAGTGCCCAGGTTGTGCCATACATCACAGCCTCCACAGCACAAACAAAAGCCTCAAACACAACTGTAACTCCCTCAGAGGCTGGAATCTAGCCATATGCAAGCCCTGAACATCCTCCAAACCATAGCTCCATGGAACTCAAGCCAACAGAAGGCTTTCTCTGCAAATGCTTGTGGTAAGTGGCCCAGCTCACACAAGGTGTCCCTTGAATTCAACTGCAAATACAAACCAAGAGGATGTAAAACTACAGGAGACAACAGAAGAAACAGTAACAGCTTCAGCCATACAACACAGCTATTCAAGGATGAGTCCAGAGTTTTATCCAGTTGTGTGTAACAAACACGTGAGATCACTTCATTTCTGGAGATAAACAGTTTTCCTTCTCATAAAATAAAACAAAAATTAAACTACTACTCCTATGATGTCAAAAATTTATTGAGCATATTAGCATTGTTTTATAATAGCATCTTTTTTCCTACTTTACAAAAGAAACCAAATTCAGGTCTAGGAGTAACTTGAAAACCAACACTCCTACACCACAGAACACAACACAGCTGATCTTCATCAGCAACATACATATTAGAAAAAATGAATAGAAACACACATCATTGTTTTCATTGTCAGGCAATGAAAAAACAGTTCACTTTCAAATGAACTGAATGGTGACTGGCTGCAATAATGCATTACAAATGGGAAACATCTGATGGTTTAAATGGTTGTCCACAGAAGCTCATACTTAATAGTCAACGTGGCTTTCTCCATAGTTTTTTTCATGGTTATCTGTGGTGTTCTGTTTTTAAGTCATTTATGGTGCCAGTACTGGCTGCTCAAACTAATGGCCACACATTTCACTTAAATAACTAGTTACACTGTGGTTGTAATAGCAGATAGCAGAGAGGGAATGCAGCATTTCAAGTAAATGATGAATCTGGACATAACCATGGCCAAAGAGCAGGACCAAGCACTTGGTCTTGTAGAACTTAATGACAGTTTGCAAGGGATATCTGAAGCACAGGGCCCCAAACACATCAGATGCTAAGGCTATTTGAGCATCTGAAACTCCACTGAAGTGGAGTGCAAACTAAAATCATGTTTCAAGAGGATGCCGACAAAGACAGTCCTTCGTATGGGGGATAGTAGCCCAGTTTGGTCAGACACCATGCTCTTGGACTCTGGCAAAATCCTTCCAGCAGAAAACCCACTCCTCTCTTCATCCTACCTCACTGTCAACAGTATATGGATATCCCCACAAGCAGGTCTCCTTCTCACTCATGCAGTCCAGAGCAGCTCCTCACATCCTGACTGGTCATATATCAGCCCCTCAGACTTCAGTGCCCTCACAGAGCCAGCCTGCCCCTCCCAGTCAGCAGATGAGCCCAAAGAGCATAAAAAACAAGACTGCTTCTACCTCTCCTTCACCCCAGTGGTGTCATAGCTGTGATACTTGTCACTCACATCATCACCCATTCATTCAAGCCATCAGCCAGCAGGAAACTGTGCAAATATTCATCAGTACACAGCTTTTGCACACCTGAATAGCAGCATTTGCATGAGGTTTAAATATTGCATGCAGTGAACTCGGTAGTTTCCACATAGCTGCAAGCAATAACTGCTGCCATGAACAAATCCTTTGTTTTTATGCTACTTTATTGTTCTCACATCTGCCCACAGACCATTCTACACCCCTGATTATGCAGACCACAAGCCACTACACTAACTGCTATGGCAATGGTTGATAGCAAAACAGTAAGATGAGGCTGAGCCTGAGAGATGTGGTTGCCTCTGTGATTTTGAATAACTGCTTAAAAAAGGGAAGAAAAAAAAAAAGAAAGAAAAAAAAAAAAAAAGGGAGGGTAGTGTATTATAGCCAGAATGATTTTAGTTTATGAAAGCAGTAAGGCTGACTAAGTATTTGGACAAAATAATCCACAAGAAGGATGAGCTGTGATGTGTGATGACTACGAAGACAAATGCCTCTTCTCTGAGCAAATCCAAGTCTATAAGCAAACCTCAGTATCACACAGCATGAGCTTCACTGTGCAATAACATCTTTCATCTACCATCTTCTCAGATAGCATTACAATGGGCAATTGAAACACACTGTCATTTGCACTGAGAGCCTCTTTTTCCCCATCTTTCTGTGTTTCACTACAGTGGGAAGAAAAAGTAGTAATTTTTTTTTGACCTAGCATTGTGGTATTGGGTTTGCACCACACCACAGGGATATTTTGATGCCTCCCAGAAAACCAAGTGTGGTTTGGCAAACCTGCTCATCCCTTTGGAGGGCAGGCACGTAAGGATGTGCTGTTCCCCTTATTTACTAACCACATGCCTACCAGCTTTCCCTGCATCCATCACCACAGGACTAGGAAACCACCCCAGCTCTCTCCATACAGCTGGGCTACCTCTCACCCTGGAAGCAGCCACACTTCTTCACTGTAAACTGAATGCATCAGGACAATGAAGATACAGCTACAGAAAAAAGTAAACAAGTGAAAGCTCTGCTTGGAAGACCATGGCTCCAGACCCCAGCTATACCTCAAAGGACATCCAGCTCATATAAACCAGATTAGCTCCTACTCAGAAAGACTCCATTTAACTATTAGGCTCGCTGCTGTTCTCATTAGCAATCAATAGCTTCCAGATTTCTGTCAGCCATTTCAGGGAAACTGGACAAGAATAAGATGGATTGAGACCATCACATTGTTGCACCATTACCACCCAGTCAGGAAACTTCCATTTCCTCTTTGTCTTTAGTTATACAGCCTGTTTTACATGGAAGGAAAACATACTGCATGCATTAAGGATGCCTGTCCAGCAGTCAGATTCCTCTCCCCTTCAGGCACAAGACTTCTGTTACACAAGCTAATAATCCTTCTTGAGGTGTGCACACACAAATGTATGGCAACTGATGTGCACTCAGCTGGCCTGCACGCTTTGCCAGTTGGCAAGAGCCAGCTCTAGTTGTGGATCAGACAGCCACGTTATCCTCTCACCAGGTTTATCACCCTAGATGCACCAATTACAGGCTTCAGCTTTAGGGGCCCATTGGAAGCATTATGCACTGCATTTACTGCTCCTATGAAACCCCCAGCTTCTCCCCCTCAGACTATTTCTCTTAATCCATAGCGTGTCAGAGTTTTTTCTCCTTCAGAAAGTGAAGGATTGCTGCAAGACGAGTGGATCGTGGCTGATCTCAAACAACGAGCCCATCTGTGTGCTGTAACATGGCTATCACCCACACTGGGGATCAGGCTTGTTTTGCTGAAACCTAAAAGTTCCAGGAGCAAACAAGCTCAGCCATCCCTTGTAACACTTCGCAATTTCACGTCTGACAATGGCAGATGGGGGGGAAGAGGGATAAATCAGTCCCAAAACTCCGATTTTCATTCTAGCATGAACTGAAGCTAAGCCAACATTGTACTGCACCAGCCCTGCCAATTTTCCACTGGCTGCTTTGCATACACTAGGCCCACACACTTCTATTTTCTAGCAATTCCTGGCAAATATCCTGTCAGATTAGCAGCCGCTTTACTCCCAAGACATGACGCACAGAAAAACACAAGCAGTTTGTCTCCTCCAGAAACCACCTCCCTGCAACGGCTTCAGACAAGCAGCTTTTAAAGCAAACATCAGAGTGATGACAAAGGCTCGGAGGAAACCCTGGCAGCGTCTCCATGCACGCGTGTTGATCACCACAGCTCGCACTGGACTATTTGAACCACATTACGTCGCTGTGAAGCACAAGATCAGTTCTGCTGACAGGAACGAAGAAGAAAGAACAAATACAATGGGACAGCACTCACAACAGGAAGGCTTACATAGTTCACTTGTACTCTGCCACAGACCAGCTGGAGTGGCTGGTTCAAGAGACTCAAAACCTCTCACATCTCAAATAATGAATAATTTCAGGGCTGGTAAACTTGTTACATACATCTGCGTGCTGCTGCTGCCAAGCAGACATATTTATTCAAGACAAAAATCTCATTGGTTTGCAATGAAAACAAATAAATAAAATCAGAGGTTTTGCCCATAACAAACCATGCTGTTCCTTGACCTCCAGATCCTATGCTTACACAGGCTCCTAAGGGCATCCTAAAGAATGATGCCCAGGACAGGAAGGAAAAACCCAAGATAGCCTTTTCCCCACTGCCGCTTTGGGAGCTGAGAAACCTTGGGAGATCTCTTATCCTCTTTCTAACAGCATTCCTACGCCCCTGGTTTAGTTAACTGCTTTTGGCTGAGGTGATGCTGTCTTCTGAAGTCTTAAGGAAAGGAAACATGATACCAAAATTTCGAATGTATCAGAAAACTGGAAAATTATGATGCTGACACTTGGGGTTTACAGTGAAGACAACAGGGACACAGGCCCATCGCTCAGGGTGCTGGAGCCTTTTTTTGCCGTGCCCCCCTAAATCCAGACCTTTGGAACACCCAAACACTTTATAGAACCCAAAGTGCAGCACCAGTTATATTGAGCTGCCACAGAAGTGAATGAATCAAGTACTAAGCAAGCTTCCCCCCCCCCCCTCTAGTCCTCTGATAAATCAAAACAAAAAGTTGAAAGTATTTCCGTAAGCAAATTGATTCCCAATTAGTATTCCCAAATTAATCTGTGCTACAACTAAGCATGAGTGACCTGTATCTACTGATAATTCATACGCAGGAAAGAGAACCACAGCCTCCAAATACAGTTCTGCTCCTTTAGCAAACTGCAATCATGCACAGCAAGTCTCAGGATTTGTTCAGTTGCTGTGCTGCTCTCCCATCTCCATGCAAAACCCCAGCTAAGCTAAGCCTGTATGTTACAGGGAGAAATAGAAAATAAAATAAAAATAATCTCAGCAGTGAAGGCTAAAGTGAATGGTCTTGGAAACAAAGGGAAAACACAGAAGCTACAAAACAAGAGACCAGAGATGGAGGCAAGCCCCGCTCCCACCCCTCCATCCTTACCTTCATAGCAGGGCAGGAGTTTCTTCCCACTGGGCTGCAGGTTGGGGGGAATGATGTTGCAGAAGCCATGGGGCAGAATGTATTCTGTCTCGTAGTAGATGTTTTTCCAGCGGTGTGCACAGGCCTCAAAAGATCACAGCACACGTGTTACTGACCAAGAGCTGCAAGAGAGCCCTCTGACCAAGGCAGAGTATGCAGAGTAAGAGCAACAAAGGCTAAACCGGCCTCACTAGAGCACAGTGCTCAGGATAAACGCCACACAGAGACACACTGCTTCACACCTTCCCAGAAGCTAGCTTGCTCCAAAAAAATAACACTGCACTGCTGCCAGACACGCCACAAGTTGCCTCATGCACAAGGATTAATCAGAATCAAAAGAAATGAAATGTGAAACAGCGAGGGTTTTGAATTTATGCACATGGTGAGCCATGTCCCCAGCTGGTTTAAGCTGGGAACATCAGTGTAGATGCATCAATTTGTATCACTTAAGGCTTGGTCTCATGAGCACAGAAGCAATCTCTCTGCTACAAATCATCTCCTTAACATGCTTTCAACTTTTCCTGGAAACTTTGCACCAGCCTTGCTATCTCACAGAAGCCTGCAACAGCCACCTTCACAAGCCCCACGTTTTACCCTGTTATCCCCAGATGGGACACCTTCTTCCCTTGTCCTCATTCTACAGCACCTTCCTGCCTCAACACCTCAGAGCTGTTCATGTTGCCAATAGAAACATCTCAATATTTGCAAAAATTAGGGCCACAAAAATGATTTAAGGGGAACATCTCCCCTACAAGGACAGGCTGAAAGCTGGAGCTGTTTAGCTTGGAGAAGAAAACTCTCCGAGGAGATATGATAGCAGCCTTTCAATATCTAAAGCAGAGCTACAGGAAGTAAGGGGACAGACTCTTTAGCAGGGTCTGTTGTGATAGGACAAGGGGAAAATGGTATCAAAATAAAAGAGGAGAGATTCAGACTGGATATAAGGAAGTTTTTTTACAATAAAAGTAGTGAGGCATTGGAACAGGCTGACCACAGGTGTGGTGGATGCCCTGTCTCTGGAACCATTCAAGGTCAGGCTGGAAAGAGCTCCGAGGATTTTGGTCTAGCTGTAGGTGTTCCTGTTCACTGCAGGAGAGTTGAAGGCCTTTAGGGGTCCCTTTCATCTGAAACAATTTTATGATTCTATGGCAAATTAAAAAAATAATAATAATAATCCATAGATTGCCACCCATCATACAAAGGATGCTTATAGTGCACTTGGCTTGACAGACAAATGCGTGTCAGCAGCTCAGCACAGATCAGCTTCAGCGACTCAGCTTATGACTTTAATCCCCCATGCACCACTCATTCCAAATTCAACAGCACCAGAAGCAACACTCATTCCCTGAGTAACAAGGAAGTAGTTTCTCTTATGACTGATCAGCACCATGAGCACAAATATGCACAGGCACGTTCCTTCTGAAGACAGCACCATAAAGACACATACCAATAAAGCTGGCGTTAAGTCAACCTCAACTCCAGACACTAACTCAAGTGAAAAATGATAAAGAACATATATACATATATATTTTTTTAATTATGGAAAGATAAATCAAGCATGATGATATTGTAAATCCCCTGACATTTTATCTTTTGAAAACTCTCAGAGGCTTGCATAAATTTACCTACTAATCTCTCCCAATGGAGCACAAATGACAGAGAGACAGGGTGAGCAGCAGCATCTCATCACAAGCAGCAGGCTTTGCTCAGAAGCAATCAGGAGTGAAGCACAGAGGCCAAGAAAGAGAATAATATGAGGAGAAAGAAAAAAAAAATAAAGGAAAGCAGCCTCTACATCAAAAGTACACTCAAAAAATCAAGGTGAGACTGTGGATGTCTCAGTAATTGAGTGCTATCCCTTAATCAGCGTGGGTTTTTTTGTTTGTTTGTGAAGGGGGGAGTTGTCTGATTTTTGTTTGTGAGCTTTTTTTTTTTTGTGATATTTTCCGTGTTTTTGTTTTCAGTAATGAAAACTTCTCCATACCCTCAGTCCTGCACATACTCAAGCATAAAGCAATTAACTAGCAGTAAGCCTGAGTCTGCTGATGGCTCTCCCCACTCTCCCCCAGACCACAGTTGCAGAATTTGATATTTTCCCAATGGAGTGGAGTTCAATATCTCCTCTCCCTCCCAAAAATTCACCTCTCTGCAATCAGGCAACCAGCACATTTGTCTCCCTGCCACAGCAAAACTTGTCTGCATTCGCTTCTGGTTCTCTTGCCTTTACCAAATTATTTGCTTGGATTACAATGCATGATCCTTGCACGTCTCAGCACTGCTGAGTTAAGGTGATGCACTACCAAAGGCGGTTAAAGCCTTCCTCCTTTAGTAGTACATGTCTGAAAAGGCTTTGGGAACAGAGATGAATCACTCAAATTTGATGTGGAACACAGGAGAAAGGATGCAAATTCCTGAGGAAAAATAAAGTCTTCCTGGACTAAGCATGCAGAGGTCTCTAATGTTAGCAGACACTGCATCACTGTGATATAACAGACAGATCACTTCAGAACAGCAAATGTTTTTTGCTTTCTTGAGGATTGAATGCCAGTCATAGGCTTTGCATCGTAGAAAAAGGAATGTGAGACCAAGACTTCTCTTCAGGGGCTGAATCCTGAAGTTAGAGTCCAGACAGGGGACTTTTTAAGTGTACCACTGTCAGACCACTTCTGGTTTGCTCTTCACTATGAAGGCTTTGGCACAGTGATGGGTTCCCCTCCCTCACCCCTTCCTTTGCAAGCTTATCACTAAATGTGCCAGTAAGTCAGCTGCTTAAAGTGAAAAACAGCAACACATGATAAAAAGCAGAGTAACAACAGATGTGGCAGGTATTTCCAAAGAGCAAGATTAAAGCATGTTGGCTTATCTCCAAATCATAATGCACCGTCCCCAGCTCCTCTCCCAACAAAAGCAAAAGAAGGAATTTTGCCGTTTCAGTTTGGGAAGAGCCAGCAATCTCAGCTGTATTATTGTAGCACTTTGATTAATGCAAATATTGACTGAGTATAACCCAGGACAGGAAGCCACTAAACTGCAAACTTTATTTTTTATATATAATCTTAGTTCTTCCTCTTTTAAAGTCTTCATTATCAGTTTGAAACTCTGTTTCAGTAATATCTTGGCACATGATGAGCTGACATAATCCACGTTACCTAACACTAGCCAAGCCTCTTGCACACTCCTAACCTTCCTCTTTCCACTGAAGTTGTTATTTCCATCTGAAGAAGGGGAATCTGATCTGGGGAAACTGATAAGACAAAGCCACTAGGCAATCTCAAAGCAAAAGGAGCAACTACAACCCACAATTACACTGTGGAACTAAATGCTCTAACATAGGACATCAAGAGCATGAAGAGTTCACATGGGTTTAAAAAGAGATGCTCACATTTATGAAACTAACAAAAGAATCCAGGGTACTGAACACAAAAATACTGCACTTGCAACATCTTTTGGGAAAGTACTCTCTCAACCACTTCCCTGGGCAGCCCATTCCAGCACCCGACCTCTCTTTTGGAGAAATTTTTCCTAATATCCAACTTGAATCTCCCATAGCACAACTTGAAGCCATTCCTCCTAGCCCTATTGCTAGTTATGTGGAAGAAGAGACCGACCCCCAGCTCACCACAACCTCCTACAATTGTAGAGAGCTGTAAGGGCTCCTTTCAAAACACAGCCTTCCTACTACTGGGAAGACACTGGGGCTAAGTAGCCTGACAGTTCCTCAACTTTTCACTTTGAAAAGTTCTGTTTTGAGTGAGCAGCCAGCCCTAGCTCTGGCAGTTGCCTGGCTTTTTCATGTACTTCCCTCTCCTCTGCTGCTTTTGCTTAGCTTCTGAAAATGACAGAAGAATTTGTCTAGCTCTGGCCAGTGACTAGAAGATGGCAAGAATTATGTGTCTTGGAACCACACAAGGATTTGTGCTGGAATGGTCCTTTAAAGATCATCCAGCTCCACACCCCGCTGCTGTGGGTAGAAACACCTTTCATCAGGTTGCTCAAAGCCACATCCAACCTGACCTTGAACACTTCCAACACAGAATCATAGCATGAGGCTGGTTTGCCTGGATCAGAACACATTACTCCTCAGTCACCAAGCAGACTTCTTCCAAGCATATACATTGGGTTATCCCTTGAAAACACACGCTGCTTACGCACTCTTCTAGTTGGAATGCCTTCATTTTTGTGCTCTGCTGTATAATGTATTTTATTTATCCCATTCTGCTTTTCCCCTTTTCTTCTACAGTTGAACGTAGTTAAAACATTCAACTAAGGTGACGAACCAGCTAGCCTCTAAAAAACTAGCAAGCTGTGCACCAACAGAGAGAATCAGATAAAATACCACTGCACTATCACAGAAAGGTAGAAAATCTACCTGTTCCCCTATAGGAGGTCACTGTGCAAAGACTTGTGGTGCTAATGTGTCTCATCACATATTAAATAAAATGCTTTCACATTAAGCAGCTTCCTCCTGACTAAGTAGGTGGTCAGTGGAGAAGGTGCTGTACAGAGCTCCTGTTGCTAGCAGGTTTGAGACTCATGGGTGCCCACACACCAGTGTGATTCCCTGCCTCACTGGAAAGATGCTGCAAATTTCCAACTGAAAAAAAAAAGGTAGCATTTAGCATTAGATTGTTATTAGGGGTACTGTGACATGAGCTTGAAATTTGCCAGCCATACATTATGCACAACATTCCATTAGAATTTTTCTTATTCATTTAATATTCCTTCACAAGCTCCCAGATGGAGCTCAACAACAGATGCAAGCACAGGCAAATGTTGACCATAATATACCCATAAATTTTAAAATGATATTTGTCCAGTTCTTCTTAAGATTTTCTTTCCAGTACAGGAAATGCTTTGCAGAAATAAGTTCCACATCCTAAGGACCACATCTGCTCTCCTTGACCCTCTGCGTGGTAACCATATCAAAGACAACAAGGCCACCCACACACAACTAATTCATCTTCACTTTCAATGCTTCCGCCTCATTAATGGAAAATACATATACATAAAGACAAAATATTTCCCTAAAGTCTCATCTTACATTTTTCACGGTGAGTTCTGATATGTAACGCATATGCTCGTGGAAAATGAATGCATACATAAACACAGACAACCTACAAAAAGAGCAAAACAGCAGATACCTCACAGACAAAGTTCTGTTCATTCTGTTTGAAGATTTAATCCCCCAGATTTGGGAGGAAGCCCTTAGGTGACACAAGTCAGGTGTGATCGCTTTGAAGTCATTCGTCTACAAATACAGCTTTTTGGCAGGAGCTCATTTTCCTTCTGCTTGAAGGAAGGGACTACAGAATTTGCAGCCCATAAAGCTGGACTCCATCAGTCACTACCAAACGCATTAATTCTGATGTGTTTAGCATTAAAGTCAGACAGCAGCGACGATTTTAATGAGATCAAAGAGAAGAGCGGACCTACCAGCACACTTCCACCAGCCTTAGGCTGTCTAGCCAGGCTCACGCCCATCCATTCATCGTCTCTGTCTTCTTTACACGTCTTTCCACAGAGCATGCCCCGAGAATTGCCTACAGGAGGAAAAGAACGGCAGCAAGGCAGGGAGACATAAGCATCTAGAAAGAAATCTCTTGGAAAAATGACTGCCATCAAACATCTGCCTGTCAGTATTTTTCCTTTCTCTTTCATCCCAACTGTTACTTCTTGTAAGCTCTACTCAGGGTGATGCTCCCATTGTTACCAGACACTGTCCATAGCAGATGACAGACTCTATTCCAAACGGCCAGCAGCTATTGCAGCATGCCCACAGCTTTACTTCAATAAGCCATCCAAGTGAAGTTAGTGGAATACACGTGCAACTGCTTCCAGAATGCAATCAAAGCAAAAATATCCTGGAAAATGAGATCTGGGGCATTTATTTTATTTATTTATTTTTTTTAATGAGGTCTACATTTGTATGGGAACTGCTGAGTCAAGACCTGAACCTCTGATTGATCACCTGAGGTGAGCCATGAGCCAGCCAGAGGAGCACAGGTGAAGGCAATTCACCTGTGCTACCTCTCTTAGACCCATTTAAGAGCTGGCTACCAGAGGGGAAGGATCTCTTCTGGAGATTGCTTCTATTGGTGTTTTGTGGTGAGCCCAGCCGAAGAGTAAGCCTTCCATTTTATTCTCTTTTGTTATCATTGTCTACTTTGCCTAACTCTCCTGATTATATTGTTATTATAACATCTTGATATCCTTTGATTATACAACATTTTTAGTCCCAACTGGCAATATCTGTGAATCCACTAAAGATGCTTTTTACTGTTGTAGATGGACAAGTCAAACATAGCCAAAGTACTACTGTAATCTACACAAGCTTCATAAAAACAAATCCTATTTAACTCAAACATGAAAAGATTTACAAAATGATACTAACATAGTTTTAACTATAGGTGGAGAATTAAATAATGTTAATCACATGACCAAGAAAATTGGAATGTTTAATGACTTCAATTTCTCCATCAGAATCCAGCAGAAGTTTTTAGATCAAAGTTTTGGGAATAGGCTGATTCTGACAGTATGACTGAGAAAAGTCAATCCTGACTACATAAAGCATTGCACAAGTAGGCCTCACTTAGAGAAAGCTGGGACCTCATTAAGGCTGGCAGGACTGTTAGCCACATGGGGTGCTTTGTGATCCCTCCCCTCAAAGTATCACTGCTACCCACCTCGACCCATATCCAGCTCTGTGCATCTTCTGTCAGGATTGGTGTGGACTCGACATTTAAATACTGCTCCTGGGGACTGAATAGAGGTGCTGTATCTAGAGTCTGCCTTGGGAGCGCCAACCAAGACCCTGGAAACCAAGCACAAAGTAACAAGTTACTAACTGCATGAAAAAAATAAAAAATAACAAACAACGTCAAGGTTCACATTGCCAGGGATTCCTCAGCTAAAGCAGTTTTTCTAGAAACTTTGTGAAATGATAACACTGATTCACAAACTGACAACAACACCAACAGTAAAAGCATTTTTCCACTAGTGAAGGCAGGAAAGCCATGAATACTTTAATAAACTAGATTTCCATTAGGAGTGTAACACTCGTAAAGCAATTCCTTTTCTCACCCCAGATAGCATTTAGGAAAGTATTAAGACACATAACAGCAGCCCCATCTATTTTTCCTCAGTTTTAACTACATCTCTATTGGCATTACAAAAAATAAAGACCTAAAATAGACAGCCCTGAGAGGAAAAAACCTGAACCTGAATGTTTCCAGCCAGCTAAAGATTAATGATTGCTTAGAAAGTTGAGGCACTCTATTAGAAGATTTTATGTAATTACAGCTTGAAAACAAACACAAAACACAGGAGCAAATTTCTTCCACAGTGCCTTGCCTTGCTATCGGCCACTACTTACAGTGGAGCACCTTTCTTGGTTTAGCCAAGGGAACTACTGCTGCAAAGTCAATCTCTGTACACAGCCCACACACAGCACAGATTAGCAGCCCAGTATCAGACCCAAAAAAGCAGCTTTCCTTCTTTTAAATGACCCCTCCGTCATCCTCCTCAGCAGCCTCCAATCTGAGGTTCCAAAGCCAACCAGCACCCATCATCACCTCTTCAGGGAGACCTGGGGCATGCGTGTATCCCAGTGGGGCTGTCCTAAATAGCACAGGTCCTATTTTCACAAGTGAGATGAATTAATGGCTGAACTGCTTGAGTTGCTGAAGCCTACAAGGCCTGAGCACATTGTGGAGTCAGAGCAAAGGATCCAGAAATAACAGCCTGACATGGAAACCCCACCACGCAGACAGCAGGCAGAAAATCAGATGCCAGTCATTTCATTTACACAGGCAATGAATGTGTGTCATTCACTTACTGACATTCGTGAGGGCTAACAAAAGCAAATAAGGGGGGATATTACTAGCTTAAAGAGTTACAGGTTCAAATTGCAAACGGCAAGAAACTGTTTCTATGAACTGTTAGAAAAATAAGATAAGGTAAGCTGTGCTGACCTCCAGTTTAAACAAAGCTTTCTTCTAACCCAAAAAAAGTAAATCTGAATCGGCAATTAGTACAAAAGATACCTTGGGTTGGAACCCCAGACAGAGCTTAAGGAGCATAAATCACAAAGACTCATTGGTTCTGTTAAACAAAAAAAGCTAAAAGGGAAAAAAATGGCAATTACAGATTTGAGTAGGCTACTGCCACACATCACATCACTCAAATTTGTCTTGAGTGAACACACCTTTCAGAAAACAGTTTGTTGCCATCTCTTCATACAGACTGAGCACAAGGAAGCAGCAATAACATGTGCCAGAAGCAAATCTATTTTGGATTGTCCTGAATACCAGACACCTAAAACTGGCAGTTCACCTGCACCACACTCTGTATTATCTCAGGATCTTCTTTCATTCACTCACTCTTGCACTTCCTCCAGAGGTTGAAGCCTCGTTGGATTTCCCACTCTGGCTGATGTGATCCATGCTTGCCCAGACCCTGGGAAGTCACCTTTGGGGAGATGGCACAAAGGTCTCCATCTGCTGGGCCACACGCTTTTGGCTGCTCAGGTTGCCATTGACCATGTACCACTCAGTCCAGTTTTATTCAAAGAACTGAGGCTGGAGTATTAGCCTATTACTCTTGTCAATACAAGATTCCCTTAAATCTTTAGCTAGTTTCTGTACACAAGCATTTAACCTGTTGGAAGAAGGTCACCTATTTAACTGTCACAAGACTCCTCAGCAGACCTGGGAAGAAGACTCTTCTGCATCCTGATGTTCTGAAGCTCACTGAGCAAAACAAATGTCCGTTTTGTGTCTTCCCTACATGTTAAAGCACCTTGGAAATCTTCTGAGATTTCTATGAAACAACGCTGCAGCCAGAAAAGGTGTTTTTCTTTGGTACCATTTACAAACCTTAGAAAATAAAGCCTTAGAATCTCATATACTCTTGTGATTCAGCACTGTGCATTCTTGCCCGGCCTAAATGCTCTAAGGATAATAATACACTACAGATATGTAAAAAGCCACAGAAGTACTACTCTGAGGGTTTTGCTATTATCAGGCAACCATCCAACACAGCCCTAGGTTAAAATACCCTAATGCTGTGGTAGAGCTCATCAGGACTTCTCTAGGAGTCCTGTCAGAAAGCAAGCATGAGCAGCCTTGCAACCTTTTGCAAAGGCTCACGATGAGGCTGGTACACTTTGCAGAGGTTATCCACAGCCCTAACAGTGCAGGAAGCCCCTGGGATATCTGTGAGCAGCTGCAGGGAGACACCTTGAGCAGGAAACCCAACCAGGGGAAAGGAATCACCTTCCCCTGAAGACCAAGGGGAAGAACCAAGGGCAGTAGAAGTGCAGTTTGGGGCCATTTTAAGGTCTCTTTTACTTGATGTGCACAGGAATCTCTAAGAGTTGACCACATCTCACTTACCCTGTGAACCAAGTACTGGTATGTAAGCTGCTGTGAGAAGCAGTAAGCAGAGAGGCCATTTAACTTTCTCTTCTTGAATCTACACCCACATGGTCAAGGACAAACATCCTCATCTGTATGGAGATGGCTCTGCAGCTGTGCAGCCAAAAATCACAACACAGGCACCGCATCAGCCAGTATTAATGGATGACAAGGAGATTTCTGGCCACAGGGCAATTACGCATCCTTAAAATTACTTCCTGCAGAACAGTAACTGTTACTTTGCTGGTGATTGACCCTCAGCACATATAGATTTGGAAGCTAAGTGCCACATTTAGTGGAAAGAGCAGTGAAGGGAAGTGTCGAGCTGCCCAATGGCATGGAGGGATGCCAAACACACCGAACATCAGCCCGCAGCACGCCAGCAGCAATTAGGCAATCACAGCTCAAGGACTGTGGAGTGTGGGCACCTCACTTCACTGCAATGTTAAGTGGCAGGGGAAAAAGGTCTTTAAATATCCCCACATACCACAGCAGATTTCAAAGGCAGAACCAGGAGAGAGTGCCCCACCAGCATAGCCCGCTTGGGTTTTTCCCTATCAGAAGGGTCTCTGTCACACGTCAAGCCCTCAGAATAAAAATCCCAGTGGTTCATCTAGCATGTGCAGAACTAGAAGTGGGAGGAACGTTATTTGGGCGGCAGATTGTAAGCAACATCAGTAAGCCCTTACTCTCCACCTTCTCCAAATACTCCAACTCTATCTAGCATCACCAACGCAGCACAGCATCATTAACACAGCGTCCATCCTTCACCAGGTTGATCTGTTCCCACGTCTTGTGTGGGTCGCCCACACGCTCACTGTACCCCAACAACTCGCACCCACCAGCCTGAGATGCAAAACAAGCCCCATGTTCCAGCAGCAGCAGAATCCAGCGAAGCATGGGGCCGAAGGGGTGCAGCAGCAGCACAACAGCCAGGCTCATTCCTTGCTGTAATTCTCACAGCAGGATGCCGTGCAGCTAAACCGACTCCATTACTTTTTAGTGCCGGATCGTGCTGCCAGAAAAGATGAAGTTGTTAACCTGGACTTGCTGAGGGATTTGGGGGAGTGCCAGCAAGATGGGGAAAGGAGAGAGATTAATAAGTTAATAAAAGAATGATGAGAGATGTCACATCACTGACGTCTTCTACTGGTGCAAAATTGACGTTGTTTGTTCTTGAATCGTCTCCTCACAAAAGCAGAGAAAGTCACATTCTTGGTCACTCTGCTGGGTCTTTAGTCCAAGCTTGAAAATTATTTCCAGAGAACAGAAGCACTTCAGCTTGTCCGTGCTCCAAATGCAAGCAACCACCTGGATCCTTGCTTTGCTGGAAATGGGAACGATAGGGAGCTGGGTAAATGTCTCTAGATTTACAGTCACAAAACCCGGGTAAGGAAGGAAAATGGGGCATTGTCAGAAAAACAATAACCTCAGCACATCTGTGATGACAAGCTACTCCTGAGAAAGAAACTGTGCAAAAATAACTCATAGAAGGAAGGACTGCTGGGCTTAACTATTTCAGACAGGTCAGAGGCACAGACCTGCATCACAACTGTAGAGCAGGATGAACACTCATATTCCATCTTAATTTCTGGGTCTGCATCTGACACAACATCTCAAATGAAACAAACCTCATGCAGAATATTTGGTTCATATAAATCTTCAGAAAAAAAAAAAAACTCTGAGCTCATTTGCTTAAAATCTACAGGCTTGTAGCAAACAATGCAGGTAAGTGCTTTTCTGGTGTGGAAAAATGAGTGAAACACTGAAGTTGAAGAGCTGGCAATTACAGATGCCTTTTTATTATGAGACAGTGAAGTTCCACGTATATTAAAAAGCAGACAGGCTGCTGAGAGGAACACGTTTCAACTAAGATGCTCTGATGATCATTAGGGAATATTGGGCCCTGGGGCAATGAAGATTAAGAAACCCTGAGCTATCACGATAACACTCCAATGCTTTGGAGCATGTTAACACATTAAATAAATTTACATAGGCAAAAGATGGCTCTGGATAGCACTGATCACATTTTTTACAGGCTTACACAGTGCCAAGCTGACCCTGCAAGCCACATATGACCAAAGTATCACAGCTCAAAGTTAACCTAGGTTAACTTCCCACAGCAGTCCTTAGGCCGAGGAAATGTGAGAAACTCAAACCATAATGCCTCTTCATGGAAAGAAAAGCTATAAAGCTAAGAACAAAACTGACACACACAGATAACACTATGGCTGTTAACAGCAGCTGCATGTTACAGTGGGATGAACAGCAAACCTTTTTACTACATACAAGGGCTGGCTGCTCCAAAAGTAATGGCTCCTGTATTATTGTGTTGGCCCACAACATCAGAGGTAGATGGTGGGGGTACGGCAGCAGGGGCTGAACCTTCCCACCAGTTTTCCAGTACATGTTCTTGCCCTGTAACAGATGGCAGCAGAGGAGCAGTCTGACCAAACATTGTCTGACATGGGAGTGCATCTGAAGCATAGGTGGATCGCTGAATTTCTCCATGCAGAAAAAATGGCACTCATCAACAGTTGCTGAACATTTATGAAGACCAAACAATGGATATGAGCACAGTGAGGTGGTGGGTGATGCGTTTCAGCAGTGGCATCAGTGACAGCAGGTCACTTCCACTGGTGCAGATTTCTACGAATGCAGCACGATGGCTCTTGTTCATCACTGGCAAAACTGCATTGCTTATGGTGGAGGCTGTGTTCAAAAACAGCATCCTGTAGCTGAGAATCTGCTTTATCAAAGTGTTATTATGAGACGTCACTTTAGGAGCAACACACCTATTTGGTATACCAGCCCCCACGCTGTCCCCAGCCTATCTCATTTTGAAAGAAAAACCATCACCCATTAACCCTACAGGCCAACTAAGAAAACAGCTCTACAGCTTTGCATGCGACAGCTCTGCACACAAAAGCTACGCACACAAAAACCCGACAGATTGCCGCCCATCCTGCTAACCATTTTCCTCTGCACTCACACAATAAAACTAAGATTGCATCTTGTCCTTGAATTATATGCAACTTGTAATCACTTCACAATGGAAATTTTATGCTCTGAAGTGGTGTCCGTAGTAAGGCTTTGTCCAGTATGAATGTGGCTTTGTAAAAGTGCTTTACAACACTACAAGCCTTCATGCCCTTCTGGTTAAGAAGACAAAGCTAATGGTACTGACCAGGGTTCAGTCCTTCAATGGCCTGAATGTCCAGAAAGAACGCTCAGATCTTTTAAGCTCTCCAGAAGAAACTCATTAAGCACTTAAAACTGACACTGCCCCTCCAGCACAGAGTGACAGCTTCAGAAAACTGGAAGGCAGCTGCATATCCTTTGAAGAGCAGAACAACGCAGTGCTGGGCCTTCATCTTCAGACTCCATCTATGTATTACGAGCACTGGATGATACTCTATGTGTGTATAAGCACTGGAACAGGCTCCGCAGGGAGGTGGTGGAGTCACCATCCCTGGATGTGTTTAAAATCCGTTTGGATGCGATGCTCAGGGACATGATTTAGAGGAGGGTTGTTAGAGTTAGGGCAGTACGGTTGGGTTGTGGTTGGACTTGATGACCTGTAAGGTCTTTTTCAACTTGAGTGATTCTATGATTCTGTGACCAGCGTTTGCTTGTGAAAAATAAGAATATTTTTGGCTGTATCTCCCCTACCTGTTATCACCTCCTCTAGGCACGGGACCCTGAAGCAGCCATGAAAGCAAGCTCCCCGGTTCAGCAGTGACAGAAGGGCTTTCCCCATCATCACTGACAGCCCGGTGCCGTCTAGCTGTCAGGGATAACCCCCGATTAATCCGTGTAACACCACTCGGCCACCTCAGACGTCTTTTGTTTCTGGGTGCTCCTCAGCAAACAAGCTGTACTGTGGAAACCGGGAGCAAAACGCGAGCGTCGCATATGCGTGCCCTCAATTCCCACACAGGCGGCACGTCGCAGGTACCTGCACCCCTCCACCCGCCCCAAAGGGTCACACCAGCAGGTGCCAGCCGAGGATAGCTCCCGTTACGCACTGCAACCCCTTCCACCTCCCCAGCCTTCGCCCACCCGCCGTCAGAGGCCGCTTTCCGCACCCCCAGCCCGGCGCTCCTGCCCCAGCCGAGCAGCGCTGCCAGCCGAGCGCTCCTCTCTTTGTGAAGCGGCCCGAGAAGCCCCCGGCCGCGACCGCCCCGTGAAAGCCGCTATGCAAAAGGCAGAGCGCACAACTCGTCTTAACCGGGGGGGCTGGGGGGAGGAGGGGGGCTGAAAGAAGCCCATTTTTTAAAGAACTGGACGCGGCATGAATACGCTTATGTCTATCACAGTGCCCCTCAGTTCCCCCACCGCAGCTGAGCCGTCGGCGCGGGAGATAAAGAGAAGCTCTGTGGACGTTCTCTGGCAGCGGCACATTAGAAGGACAGGTCCCATTAAGAGAAAGCAGCTTAAATTCTAACAAAGAGCCTCTCACCAGACCGGGAGAGGCAGAGCCCGCTCTGTGGCTCCTTCCAGCCACCGGGACAAGCACGCCAGCGGCACGATTCTTTCGGATGCGGGCGAACTTTCCGTCCCCCGTCGCTACTAAAAGTCCCACGGGCACGACAAGCCCCTCGCGGCGGGTCGGGGCGCGAGCGAACGCCCGCGGTCCCGCGGTCCGGAGGCACCCCGCGCTCGCAGCCGGGCCGGCACCGCCCTCGGGGCACGCGGCTCCCGCTCCTCGGGTCGGACCCGTTTCCCTCAGCGCCACCGCCTCGCTACTCACCACCGCGTGCTGTCGTGGTAGTGCTGCAGCACCGAGTACCCGAAGAAAGACCCGTTGGGACCCCGGAAGACCACGGGACGTCCTATGTCCACGTTGTAGCAACACGCTAAGGCCACCCACAGCAGCGCGCTCAGCACCCGCGTCCAACTCCGCCGCCCCGCCGGCATCCCTGCGAGTCCCCACGCAGCCGCTCCAGCGCCGACTCCTCGACGGCGCCGCTCAGCGCCGCGCTTTTGTGCCCGCCCCGCGTCTCTGCGCTGCCCGCCCGGTCCAGCTGCGCCCCGCGCCGCGACCCGCGGGGACTGCGCGCCCCGCTCCGCCCCGCAGCAACGCGCCGCCGCAGCGCGCCCCCTGGTGGCCGCGGGCTGCATCCCCTCGGGCTGCGTCTGTCCGGCGCTGTCTGTCGCGGATTCGTAGAATCAAGGAGTTTGGAAAAGAACCGTCCACCTACAGTCACTATTACCCACTAACCGTGTCCTTCAGCGACGATGTTCAATCTGACTCCTCACCGTGAGCCCTCTTGCTTCCCCAAGCCCCCAGAGAGGTGATGGGGGACCAGGGCTGCTTACCGCCGAGGCACCACGAGTTGGGTGTGGTGGTGCAGTGAATGAGGACCCGATTCATGTCACACCGAAGGGATTGGGACAAAAATCAAGGGAAGAGATGGGGTCTTTTACTGGAGCAACAGACAAGCATGCACCTAGAAGGAAGACCAGACCACTGTTTTCCAGCAAACATCCGCCAGAGCTGTAAGTGAAGTGGCAGCATTCATGGCTAAGCTGAAAGTAATTGTGTAAAGTATTACTTTAATAGCCTATCTGCGACTGAAAATGAGTGAACGCCCAGTAAATTGGCAGGAGCCAAGGCAAGGTGACCACCTCCAGCGGGTACAACAGCAGCCACGTGCTTCTGCAGCAGGAGCAAGCAGGGTGTTGTACAGCTCGTGGCCCTGCAGAGCCCATGCTTGTGTTATTCAACAAAAAAAGCTGCAGGTTCCCCTTGGGATTCCAGTGGAAGTGAGCTTAGAAGCGTGCTCTTGAGGATCAGCCCCGGGAGCTGAGAGAAGTGCTCCCTCAGAGATAACCGGCAGTTCTACTTGTTGCTGTTAGCCCTTCTTGTAGCTATGTGAGCCCATGTACTCTTCTCATCTGTGAGCAGCTGCACTGGGAGAAGCACAGCAGGTTCCAGGAAACTCAGGAGAGGGGCCAGGAGCTCTGATGTGCTGGAGATTGCTTCATCTGGCAAGCAGCTGGACGTACAGAGCAAAGTTTCTGGCGTAGGCACAACTTGAGTGTGTTTGACACCTGGTGTTCCACAGGGAATGTGCTTCAGATAGCAACAGTGAGATGCAGAGGTGGGTTCTGGATGCTGGGGCTGGCTGAGAACTGTTGTGGGAAAACTTTATTGAAGGTAGAACAGTCTTTCAGCACAGGAAGTTCTCAGGAAGCTCTCAGTATTTCCTGAGGTGGGATGGAGCTGACTGTGCGTTCCTGCTGAGAATGCATGTTCAGCAAGGAGGTAATTTTGTGGTAAGCTGTTTCACGCTATTGATGTAGCTCTTACAAAAGTGTAGCTTGTTCCTGCAGGTAAGCATCCTCATCAGATAAAAGCCATCTCCGGATTGTTTGTAAGCACTGACCTTGGGTGTCCTCATCCACGGAGCAAGCATGCTGCTGCTGTTTGTATGTGCAGATGTTACTGCCTGGAAGCTGACGTTCTTCATGTTGACCGTGATGCTAGAAAGTAGAGGTCAGCAGAGTAATATACCAGGGACAAGTTTAATAGAACAGCAGTAATTACAGAACTGGGTGCTGAAAAAGTCGGCAGAGGAAGGGAGGTTTGTAGCCATCAGTGCAGTTTACACGTGCTGCAGAAACCTTAGCAGAATATTTCTTTAAAGCTCATCCTCACAGTGGTTTATGAAAGCAATGGGACATTTTGACTCTCCAATTTTCTAATTTTGGGGGGATACAAGTGCAAGTGAGGATGACGTAGCAACGCATCACCTTTAGAGGTTGAACAAGTGAATGGGATGTGCTCCTGCCACAAACCACACAGTTCTGCCTGTAGGCATGCACACACAACGGGTTATGTAGAAATGAACAGTGAATGTTCTCCACTTTTAAAACGAAGTGGCAACGTGCTTAATATCAAATAAAATGGAGAGGTTACTTCTCAATACTTTCAGACATCATTGTACAAGCAAGTTGAAAGAATTGGTTTAATCATGAGGGAACCAAATGGAAACAATGGGGCATTTACATTGAATTAGCAGGGATATTTATAACACTTAATGAAAAGATTTTCACAGCAGTTTTATTACTGTGCAATCAATATGGCTAAAATAATCTGATTTAGCCAGAAAGTCAATATGCAGCGATTAAGCAAATTCCACAGATGACATGCAATCCCATTAGCACTACCAAGCCAAATTCTCTGCACTTTGAAGCAAGAAAACAATGGGGCTTTTCAGTTAATTATCCAGGCACTGAACGATGCTAGACAGCTCTCCAGTGAAGTTAAAGGAAATGTGAGCTGGCACTGGCTGGGGAGAAGGAAGGGCTCATTCATCTCCAGAGAGACAAGGGAAGCAAAGTGGCTGCATGAGATGAGCACAGCTTGTCTCTCACCTTGCAGAGCTCCCACGGGGGCTTGTTTCACCTGGAATTGATATGGTATGGAAGTGTGTCAGGTTGTTTTGCTTCCATTCCTGGCAAGCAGGATTATAAAGAGAAAGGGAAGGAATACTCCCATCTCCTCCACACTTTTTTTTTTCCTTTTTTTACTGTGCATCCAAATACTGAAGTAATGTCACAACATTTAACCCAATGGGAATTTTGTCAGGCAGAGCAGAAACTGCAAGGTTAGACCTTGAAGCTTAATGTTAATGTTAAATGTTAATATTAAAATCTTGGCGTGCCGTGGAAGAAATGAAAGCAATGGGAAGCATCCAACTGCAGCTGCGAGTGTAATAATAATGTACTTCAAATGAAGGCGATGCTAGCAGTAAGCACTGAGAACAAGGAACAGTAAATATGCCAGCTCTTTGTTAATGAACTATTCAAATTAGAAATGCAGATGTAGCTAATCCTATATCCCTGTTCTGTCTGCTTGAACCTTGATGTTTGCGTTGTCTAGGGAAGTTCCGTACCTGCATCATAAGGGCAATTTGTAGTTTACACATATCTATATTAATTAAGTACTTAACTGGAACTTAAGGTGCTGTATTTTGGCAGCAATTGGTCTCAAGATCAGGTTTTAAATTAGAAAAGTTATTTGTAAAATGATGACCTACAGCAAAAACTCCCTTGACAATACTTGTTCATTAATAACTTGAATTGCAGAGCTAAGGAGAGAAAAAAAAGCACAATGATGTTCCGGCTGAGGAAAGAGAGAAAACAAATGCGTGGTGTCTGAATTTCTTGCAGCATCAGTTGCACATAGATGTGGTTCATCAAGACTCACTCTTAACAGGTAGTTCCCCTCCTGGGGGTCTCTTCCCACAATGCAACTTCTCATCTAATAATTTCTTATTTTAAATATATACAGCTTTTCTCCTGTGCTGCACAAACCCAACTCAATTCGATTTTCATTATTTTGACAAATACCTTGCTTAGCTTTAGGACACCTCTTTTTGCTATGCTACTTGTTTGCTTCTCCTTGCATTTAGTGCTGTGGTGTCCCAGTGATGTTACTGTGCTCAGGTTTTACATTCAATTGTAGGCTGTTCCACCTCCACAGTGAACTCAGATGTGCTCCCACATGGGGAGAAAGAAAAGGGGAACATGTCTGCCTGTGCTATATCCATTTCTCCCACCTCAGCACCGTCATTCAGGGTGCACAGCCATGGGAAGGCACCCCATGAGCTCACTGACAGAACAGCTGCTGTGTCTCCTTGCCACGACCCACACATTTGCATCACTCTGTGCTTAGCGAGGTGGCTTTAAGCAAACTTGTGCTAAAGCTTTCCCATCACAGCAGTGAAGCCGGCTGATTCTTCACAGGCATTTTCCATATTTCACTGGCCAGTGCTCAGTACAACAAAGTCGGTAAATGTTTGTAAATCAGTCTTCATGATAATGCTGTCGTTTATTTTTAGCTCGTTCCCACAGAGCTCTATGATCTAATCCATGCTCTGACTCCACTGTAACAGGCTGAGGAGACCGAGCTTCTTCCCGGCTTTCTGTGGAGGAGAAATTTTCCAGACAGTTTTGTAGCTCTGCTCACAAATCATGCTGAGAGCAAACTTTTCGATCCCTCCTTCACTGTGGCTTCATTAAAAAGATTGATCCTGGTTGCATCTCCGTTGAACAGGAGCGAAGGACACAGTCACCTTTATTACACTGTAAAGAGAAGCACAAAGACTTCTTTCTTCTCTTCCCAGGCCCTCAGTGCTGCTGAAGCTGTCACAGAGAAGAGTGTGGCATTGAAACTTAAATACATAGGTTGCTCTGAAAGTAATGCCTCCTATTTGTTTCATGGAATCTACAAGTGTTGATGATGAATGTCAGGTATTAAATCATTTTCTGCATCTAGATTTACCAGCAAGTCTAGACTGTGATTATCGTTATTTAAACCATATATTCAATCATTACTTCCATTAAGTGGAGGAGATGTCTTCCTCAATTTTTACACCAGAATGCAAGAGGAATTTCTTATGGTAGGTAGCATGTATCAGGTGAAGTTTCCACTGTAAATTTGACTGAGGTGTTTTCAGTGATCACTTTGGATTATATACTCACTTAAGTCCTAATGCTTCATTCTTCTGTTTGGCTGTAGCCAGTTCTTCAGCTGGAGGAATCAACAGGGAATCAAGAAAATGGTTCTCTTACATGTACTGCTGTTAGCTCTCAAGCCACCATATCTTACCTTTTTTGTTGAGCTCTATCAGAGTTTTCCAAGTAGATTCAATCCAGAAAGCTTTATCTGGACTGGGGATCGTGTTAGTACAAATCTTAGGTGATATAGAAGCTTGGAACTTAATCAAAATTCTTGTCACATAATGACAGCTAGAAGAATAGATTGGAAAGCCATAATTTTCAGAGCCTCACATGCAAAAAAAAAAATATATATATATATATATATATATATAAATTTTCTGTTTTCAAATATCTAATTCTTAAACTGTACCATTTCAGCAGCAATCCCATTAATTTAGTAATTTAGATTCACCATTCTTCTATCCCCTTG